TAGATTGACGGTTGATATACGTCGACTTGTATTTGAGGACTTTCTGAATATCGAAATAATTAAAATCACGAAGACAGATGCACGACGTTTGATTGCTGGCACGTTTTATCATAGTCCCAAATTGCGTCAGTTATATTTGCCTGATAACAACATTTCGATCATCGAACCTGACGCTTTTGGCTTTTTCAATGTACTGACTCACCTTTACTTAAACAAAAACGCATTGAAAAACTTCGATCCCTATGCTATTACTTCAGGTGTTAAAATCGAATATTTTGACTTGGGACATAATCGATTCGAGTATATTAGGGAAACTTCGTTCTGGAATTTGAAGAACCTCACTTATTTAAACCTTAACGGTAATAACCTTAAAGAGATCAGAATGAATCGAATAATAAACAATCCGAATCCTGTCAAAGTTGTATGGCTGTCTAACAACTTATTTACAAAAGTCACGCGAGAGTATTTCTCAGGATTTTTTAATATAGAAGTTTTGAATTTGGCCTTCAATAAAATCGATTCCATAGTAGACGCTTTTCTCGATTTAGCGAAGCTGAAAACGCTCATTTTAACTCACAATAATCTAGCACGATTCACTGATTTCATCCTTCCATACGAAGGCCTTAACAGGCTAAAAAATCTCGCTCTCGATCACAATCAAATTATGTACCAGGACCCGGAGTTCTTGAACAGATTACCCATTTTAGACAAAATTACCATAATGGGAAATCCGTGGTATTGCAACTGCTTGAGAGATTTTCGAGAAGTGCTTAAAAAACGCGGTATACAAGAAAAGTGCGACAGTGATTACGTCGACACTAAAAGACCCATTTGTCTGAGTGACCGTATGAGTAACAATACTTGTAATACTGTGTACAATTCGCAAGCGGCTCACAGTTTTGTAAACGATGATAAAAAACTTGCTTTAGATACAGATATCGTATTTTGTCTCATAAGTGAGTTCTATTAGATCGTTTTAATAAACAGAATATATCAGTTTAGTGTAATCAATTACTACCCTTTACATCATCATCATGAAGACCATTTGAGGGGTCTATCAAAACCAGCAATCTCCACTTTGACGAATTTTTCAGGAAATAGAATTTTTTAATAAAATTTTAGAGTTTTATTAAATTTTAATTTGGTTTTTGTTATTTATATTTATTTGTACATTGGCTTTAATTATTCACAAAATTAACCTAATTAATTACTATTTAAATGAGAATCAGCCACAATTAAAGGTTAATCATCATCATTAGTGCTACAGCAACTTTTGCCAGTTTACTGCTCCTATTTTTTTACCATTTTCATCTACACCACCCCTCCATTTGAGTTTTGGCCTACCTGTACTTCTACTTCTCACAGGTTGTGACATAAGGATTCTTCTAGGAGGATTGTTCTGCTGTGATCTTACCGGATGTCCTGCTCATCTTAGTTTTCCTATTTTTATAAGAGATACTACGTCTTTACCACCAAATATTTTTATATCTGTGATAATATATCTCGTAGTTGTACCTACTTCTTTTCATTTTTTTAGGCGTATTCTTTTATAAGGTGTAACTTTACAAAATCTAGTAAGAAATGCATCCTAGATTTGTTTATTTCATGAAGCATAAAATTTTTTGTGAAAATCAGCAATATCTGCCATTTTTAAGCTAGCACATCGATAAAATTTCGTATTATGGTTGCATTTAGGGAAATCTGGAAGTCCCACCGGTGCATTTCTGTAAAAAACAAAAAATATAGCGTTAACTATTTTTTGTTGTTTCCAGTTAAATATTTATTAAAAAGTAGATATCAGTTGACAGATGACAGTATACAGCGTGATATGACTTAAATCAGTTACAAATAGATAGAAAAGACAACGTTCTTGTAGATTTTACGAATAAAAAACGATTAGTTGCGAAAATTATAAAATGAAGCAATACTACTGAAGAATCGTAAGTATACCCGGTTCGCTATTCCCAGTCCGAACTGTCTAGTGATTTTAGTAATTATTTTTTTCGAAGTTACTAACTTTTTGACAGACTCGAAGTGGCTGGAAAATACTATACAACCAAGCATACGTGCTCTTAGTCAATATTAATGTAAACAAAAGTAAATAAAATAGAACTTTGCCGACAATCAATATTTATTTATTTACACCATATAATGTATTGATAACAAATAATAAAATTATTTATTGTACAAAATAAAAAAGTGGGAATAAATTCTACAAAATTAAGAAGTCAAAGTTAGGTTAAATAAGAATAAGACACAGCAAGTTCCTTATGTATTTACAACATTTAGATAATTTGATAAATACATTTTAATGATCACCTTACCTCAACAGGGTTTTCATTCGGTAAAAAAAAATGGTAGGCATTTTGAATAAACCTTTGTGCAGTTTTATCATCTTGTAATCTAGGAACAGCATCCTTACTAATCTAAAAATATTAACTTAAAAAAAAAACTTTTTAAAAACATTTTATCATATTTATTAAGAAAAACTTACCAATGCATTAGCTGATGGAACAAATGGAAAACTTTGACTATCCATAATAATAAAATTTAAAATTTAACTAACTAATTAACTGAATAGAACTAACAAAAGAATTAAACAAAGATAATAAAACAATATTAAATTAAATAAACAATGCGAATAATACAAATATTTACTACAATATTTTAAATTGTAACAATTCAAATATTATATTTTAAATATACAGGGAAAATTTGATGGGTTTAGTATACACTTCCACTATTTAGAATAATTCTTCTTTTTTTCAAAGAAAGAGGTCTGCAATAGTAGTATACTTGAGTTATTTATACTGAGAAGTAGGAATTGTTGTGTTGTAGGTTTCCTACAATGAGTCTGTCAAAATATGCCCTAGCTAAGCGAATAGACAATACCTGATTACATGATACTATGACTAAGAAGATAGATATTGCGCATAAGTCGTGACGTCATTGGAGAGTTTGACGTTCGAAATGTCAGTTTTTTGTATGTATTAATAAATAATCTTTAATAAATAGTTTGGAGATATTCTTATGTGTACGATTATTGTAATTACTAAACCTCTTAACTTATTTTCGTCTAGTAATTTCATCACAGAATGCATACAAATCCCATTTAACTTTAACGAGAATTCAAATTCTACTCTCCAATGACGGCATGCGCGAACACGACCTATTTTGTGCTACGGGAAGATCCTATCTTGTTATTATAGTATCATGCCTGACTATAGTAGTATTAAAACATTAAAAGCATTTTTGAAATACCTATTTTAATGTAGATTTATGCGAGGTAACGATAATTTCAATATTTTTATCATACAATGTCTATTTCAAGAGTTCACGGGACATTAATTTTTTGTTTAACAATTAGATCATTGATAGTCGGAATGTGACTTACTATTATCGATCAAGCCGTTGTATACTCTGCTTAAAGACATTAGTTGACTTTTACAAGTATTGTATAGGTCTACAATATTGTCTTTATGTTTTATGATGAATTACAGTGCTGTTCTTTTCAAATACAAACTGTCTAGTATTTTTCTTGTATCGTATTTATATGATTAAAAACGAATTGATCTAGAGTAGTCAATCGATGTGAAGACCCGCTATTCATGACGCTACTCGTGACGATGCCATCTTGTGACGGTAGTTCCGTGATGCTCGCCTTAGCATTTTACTGTAGAGAAAAAAGTACAATACAACGCCAGTATAGAAGCTTCGTTTCAAAAATCATGAACGCCACCAGAAGACGTCATCATAATGAACAGAGTGAAGGATGATAACCTACCAGCTTTTTCAAAAACCACATTTCGTAGGCTACTAAATGACATGGGTTTTGAATATGGTAAAAGGGGTCGAGATTCGATAATGATGGAAAGAAAATATATCTTATCCTGGAGACAAAAGAACTTCAGACAAATAAAAACATTGAGGGAGAAGGGTAATGTAAACTATGTTAATGCCGATGAGTCTTGGACTAACGTCGGTGCTTCAGTCAAAAAAGAATTCACGAGATGCCAAATAAGGGCTCTCTACTGGAATGAAAGCTCCAAATCATAGAGGTCTCCGGTTTGTTCTTCTTCATGCTAGAAGCGAAACTGGTTTTGTGCCATGAGCCGAATTAACTTTCTTGGCCAAGAAAGGAGCCGCTGATAACCACGACGAAATGGACGGGGATCGATATGAATAATAGTTTGAGAAGACGTAATTCCAAACTTGCCGAAAGTCAAAGAAAACGTTGTCGTTTTGGATAATGCGACATACCACTCCCGCAAATTTGATTTCTCGAAAAAATAGTGGAGCAAAAGGCAAATCAAGGATTGGCTAATCGAAAAAACATTTTCTTCGTGGAAGATTACCTAAGAAGTGAATTACTGGATACTGCGGTCGCATTTAGAGATAAGTACGACAAGTACAAAATTGAAACAATTGCAGAAAAATATGCCGTTAAGATTTTAAGACTGCCGCCTTACCATTGTGAGCTGAACCCGATTGAGATGTTGTGAAGTCAAGTGAAAAGGTATGTGGCTTCAAACAACGTCGATTTTAAAGAAAAAAACGGTAGTAGAACGGTGATAAAAGAAGCTTGCCAACGAGTATCTAAAGGGCAGTGGCATAATTATGTGGACCACGTCAAGAAAATAGAAGACAAAATGTTCGCAGTTGGGAATTTGAACATATTTTCTGTATACAGGATTTTTTTTTAGAATTAATTTTTTTTTGTTTATTCTGTTATTTAACTGTTAAACTATTGAATACAGATTTTTGAAACGAAGCGCGTACGGTCCTGATTTATCAGTCTATCGCCAAACTACCACACACCTACCACTGTGCCGACATGAACGGCATCGCTGCGCGCCGCAATACCAACACTGCATTATAACTGTGGCTTCTACTATAGAGAGCGTAACGTCAGCGAGTTGCGTTAGTCTGGCGGCTTGTTAGTCTTATACTGTACCACGGTACTTTTTATAAAACCATTTCATTTTGTCTTTTCTTTTTAGGTTTTCCATCGTAGCTGTTCAAGACGTACAGAACGTAATAGCTCTGAGAATCATCTGCGACGAACTAAACAATCCCAAACTTCAAAGAGTGAAAGAGTGGAGTAAAAATAACCATCACAACTGGAACTTTTGCATGTTAGATGTTCACAATTCGAAATTAGGATTTATTTATGATTCAGATGGAGGTAACTAGCAAAAATATCCTTAACATCATAGAAATTTAGTAATTAGCCTAGGACTCTTTATCTATTGGTTTATTTTTGCATCTCTATTGATTGTCGGGCGATTTTTTAAAAAAAAACCAAACACGGCAGTCATTTTAACTACCTGGTAGTATTTCTTAATTGTTTATCATTTCATAAACCTCCTTTGTATTTATCAGAACAACTTTTAATTAAAATGGACATTGCTTTTAATTATGGCGATCAAATACGTACAAAGATCATATTTTTTTGCAAGCAAGGCCAGGAAAAAAATTATACATCGTCCAATTTATCATACTTATATAAATGTTTATGTTGATATTCATACAAAAAATTCTAGTTAATGTGTATTCGTACACGTGCTTTATCTTGACTTTAACATGACTGGAAGAGTTAAGACTGACTGTATTTTGTTCCAAAAAGTGATTTCAACGGACTGCCGGAGTGATGACGTAGATTTTATTGACATCTGTCAGTTTCACTTTCCAAACAAACCTTGTTTAAATTTTAAAAACTTGTATTTTTCGTTATTTTTTAATTTTTTTATAGAATTTTTCCGCTTTTTGCAATATCTAAATATTCTAATAGTTACTACAACAATTTTACAAGGTTGTATAAATAATAAAGCATGTTGTTTTATAAAAATAGCAACAAAATGCATGTATCAATAAAGTAAAGTTAGAATTTCTTTAATTTAAACTTTTAAACTATATTTAATAAAAATAGAACACTGAATTATGATGGTATTATCGAAAAAACACTACACTTAAGAGAAAAAGCAGCATAGGAAGCAAAATGTAAACTTTATAGAAATTAAAAAGTCTTTAGATTGAGCATTTCAACTTTTGTTTGGAAAGTAATAATGACAATATGGCCGTCGTGACGTCACACTCCGGTTGTCCATTGACAGTTTACATTGTACCAATCTTAACTTCCTGTAAATGACATATGGCGCTAATATTTAAATTTTGTTTAGTTGATCTCAATATTTTAAGAGGTACAGATTTATTGATATCAAAATGTGTACAATATTAAAGAAAAATCGTTTGGTTTTCTTAATTTTCTTCTTAATAAGAGCACTTAAAGAATTGTAAAAATATTTTTCTAGGTGTTCCTGTCGACTTGATATCTTTAAGTGAAGGACCTACAGACACGAAGAGCGAATGCGAGGCTTTGGTGGCTTCGTTTAGAGTGGGCAACATAAATATGCAATTGGTCAATTTGATGTTACACAAAGGCACAAACATCGAATTGCTGAATCAGAAATTCAAGGAGTTGACCACCGAAAGCGATCTGCTTATGGTTTTCATCGACTTTAGTGACGTACGAATATTGACAGGTAAGAAAAACATACTTATAAAAATATACTTTAGTGTGATATAAAACAAAGTAATGAAAAAATACCATTTCTTAAAAAAAATTATAATAACTTTTTTTCTTCATAGATGACCATTTCAACATCGGCAATCTGCAGTCGGTATTTTCGCAGAACACGAACACCACTTTCGTGCAGCATCCGGCGCCCGGAGCCAGTTCGCACACCACCAACCTTCTGTACAACACCAAACTACAGAAACATCTTACCGGTACGAACGGAGTCGTCAAGCAGGGCCTCATCCACCTAGCCATTCCAAACGGTTGGTCCTGGGGCGGACCGGCTAGTCCCTACTGTCCCGTCTATGCGGAATTGTTCACCAATTCCACGTCAGACGTCGCCTTGTGATATTTAGCTTTATTTAGTTTGATTTTAGCCTTAATTGATCACATCTAAGTGATGGAAATTTGTGTACGATGTGCTTGCTGTTAGAAAAGTCTACTGAACTGAGTTTAGAAGTTGACAGATTATTGTTATTCGTTTTCCAGTGGCGTAGATAAGGAAATTTATCATTTCAGCAGTAATTAAATAAAAAATGAAGTTTTTAAGTATAATTGACATCAAAATTCTACTAATCTATCTCAAATTTATTGTAGACTTACCGATTTTTATTTAGTCCCTAAATTTACTTATTACATAACCGTTTCTGTCGATATCAAGATTTATATAACTATTCGTAAACTTTATTTCCTTCTATTAAAACCAGTAAAAAAATTACAGTTAGTTACTAATTCTAACAGCATACTCATTTTATACACAATATAGTTAATGTAAAAACTACTGGTGCGGCACTGTGATATGTATTATTGCAGGGTAATATGAGAGGTTCTACCAAATGGGAGTTATTTTAAGATATTTATTACCATCTACACGCTCATCACGGCTCTTGGGACCCTTAGCAAGATGTCTTTTATGATAAACATACTAAAAATGTCTTTAAAATATACTATGATATAAGTTTATCGAATATACTGAGTATGTGACGAAGTATTCACTGGTAGAAGTTGTCTGTTTCACCTGACAAGTGACAGTCGACATAAATAAAGTCATAGATTTATATTGGTTGACATCTGTGGGTCCTAAATGCTTGAACGGCATATTCAACACTATGCATGTATTATTTAGAGCACTGATATTTGTATATATCGTTTAGGAAATTTGTATAAAGAAAACGAGAAGTAGATTAATTTTTCGGCTAGAAAAAAACAGAAGTTTGTGCCGGGATTGTTAATTTTTGATTCCCAAAATATACCTTCAGAAAAAATATTATTTATAATGAATAAATTTCGACATTTTTAATGCCAGGATTTTTATAGGTAAACACAATTTGACTGCAGGTACAGTTGTGTCCATAGCTCCATTTCTGTTTAAGCTTCTATCTACTAAAATTGTACAAATGGTAGATCACTACTTAATGTGTACTAAAGAATTGAACTATATTTCGGTGTAGCATATATTTTTTCGGAACTAGAAAGATTCTATCAATAAAAACGTACAAGAAACATTGAATGAAGTACCTGTTTGAAGAATTATATATATATTAATAAAAAAAATATTTTAAAAATGTTTAAAACTAGATTGTTTGTCATAGTTTTTATCGATCCTTATATAAATATGTGTGCCAAACAATATTTAGGACGTTAAATTTGTTTCCCAGACATAGAAATCTGAATAATTTTAAAATTTCTGGTGTAAATGAAAGAAAAAAACAAAAATGTCATTGATTGACATTTGACAGCCGTACATGCACAATTATAAAAATCGCACTTTTTTGTCACCAGGCAAATATATTTCCACAGATTTCCATACATTACATAAATCCAAAAAAGTGGATCTCAGATTGTTTTTCCTTACTTTTCTGTGCTTTTAAGCATAGGGCAGTTATTTTTAATCATTTCAAGTGTTTTAAAGCTTTTATAACCAGATATCTGCAATTTGCACCAAATATAATCAATCTCAGTACTGATATGAATGGCAGGAGTGCTTCAAGGAAATTTCCTATGGCCCATTTTTATCTCATGTACACAAATTGTAATCCTAAAAAGAACAATACCTAAAATTTGTAGTTGACACAGCTCTTTTAGAGATATAAATTGTTAAATATCTCAAGGATGGACCAAAAATGAGCCTAGTTAAAAATCTGTAACATATTTACAAACCGTTTTATTGCAATGTGATTCAGAAGCGATTTTCTTGTGGAATTTTAATATTATTTATTATTATTGAGAGCTACTGGATGCATAATCAATTATATACATATTTGGTCCAAACCATAATATATTACCTATGATAAGAATAGAAGATTATATTAAATTATTTGCATCTTTAATTCATCAAATGTTTACTCAAAATTTTAGCCTTTTATGTGGTTTTTGACAAAGACCATGCGCTGCATCTTCTGGATGACAAATAGACGATTAAAATGTGTAAAGAAATAGAGCGAAAAAGTGTGTTAGTAAAAGAATTTTATATCATTTTAGAGCAAGGAACGCCAAAAAACAGGCTAATCTTTTATTAGAACAAAGAAAATCACTCACTGTACCTAATTTTTAATGGAGAGTTTGAAACAAATCATTCTTTATCTTTAGATATATTGAGCACCTACCCTAGAACGAGTCATACTAATTTTTAGATCATCCAGTTGAGGAAAATACATTTGACACCAAAATGTTTTCGTTTATTTCTGGTATTACATCACTAAAATGTCATTTTTACTACCTATTGATAATTGCTGGTTTTACACTCTCTTAACAAGGTATTTTATTTTAAAAAAACGTGACCAATTTTACAAACTAGTCAATTTTCAGAAATTTCTTAAGATAATTCATTAATTTTACCTATGTTATGTTTAATAGACTGTAAAATGATTTCTTCAATAAACAAATTATATTTTTTGATTTACATATCCAAACAGACCTCATTAGCCATATACGTACTCAACAAAATAACCAGTGAAGTTTTTTTTATTAGAAGCACTTGTGAACATTTCTTTTTATGATTTTTTTAAAAGTTTTGACCAGTTGTATAGTAGATTACATTGTCACCATCACAAAGTAAAAAATATATTAAAGAAATCTTATGTAAATACTTATAGAACAATTTTTAATAAAGAATAAGTTGTTAATTGTAGTTTTATTTTGGAAATTTAGAAAAAGAAAGTGTTAATGTTCCAGAAAAACATGTTTATATGAACACAAAATCAATTAAAAGTTAAAATATATAAGATATTTATTAATAATTAAAAATTAATAATATATATTCATTCAATAAGGTCTGTATCTATCCTGCTGAGGATGCCTATACTCCCCATCCTCCCTTTGGTAATGATCCCTGGACTCCCTACCTCTGTTATTTTCACTATTATCCCTATTTCTGTAGTTATTGTAGCTTCCTCCTGGTCTATCCCTATTGTTGAATCTGCGTCTACCATACCAGGGTGATACAATTGGTGGCGGAGGTATTTCTGAATCGAATATTTTCATGAATTCAATGTCTGCATCAGTGTATCTTTCAGAAAATTCTAAATTACATTCTTCTAGGAAGGATTTTTGCTCCGAGGTAAGTTTTTCACTGCTCATTTTTGGTACACTTCTTATAATTTATCGTAACAATTGTAAATGTATCCAGAAAGGTATAAGGTTACACAAAAGTTTTCAATTTTATATATTATTATTTTCAGATCAAAATAAATGAACAATGAACGAAATTTGTTGTTGTTATGATAACCTTGTAATAATTGACACAACCATTGACATATTAATCACGGCCGCTTCTTTTTAACTATTTCAGCCACATATAAAGATCGTAGATTTTTATATCTGGCTAGAATATTTGATAGAAAAGATCTAAAAAGTCTAGATGTAAAGGTTTTATCTTTAAAATACACCAAGATAAAATTTTAAATACAAGCATTCCAATATAAATAAAAGCACTGACTTTAATTGTATGTTAGACTTTTGCGCCCAATATAGGCAACTTTTATTGCAATCCTATCCGATTTGCAACATTTTCTTACAAGTCAAACTAAAGAAAATCAAATCTATACTAATATTAAAATTCCAAAACCTTCGTTTGTTAGACATTTTCCAAATTATAAGCCAAAAATAAGGTGTGAAACTCAAGATAAAAATTAAATACTGCATGTAGTAATACCTTCTATAATTTATTTGGAAGAATATTACAGCATACTCCGCAAATATTAGTATTTTTACTTAAATAAAGATTAGATATAAATATAAAAATTTATAATTGAAAAAAAAACATTAATTTGCGTATTAATAAAAAATAATAAAATACCCTCTTCTGAATTATTTTGTTCCCGTTCTGGTGTTGATAGGTGTCAATGTCAATTTTACAATCAAAACAAATCATTTTTAAATTTCAAATCCAAGATTTTGATTCTTTGCAATTTTTAAGCTGCTTTCTTGAATTTTTCATCAAAATGTTATTGGACGATTACTATTGGCATTACGATTACGCCCGTTTAGCTTGGGATACAGGATTTTGCTTCGACAAGTATAAATATCCAAATTTGGACAAAAATAAAATTTGTGAGTGAAGCTAAATCCCTATATTGTATTATTTTGACGCAGTTTTTTTGCTTCAGGTTTAATAGACATTGATCGCATAATAAAAGAAAGAGACGTCGCTTCAGTGGAAAGAAATATTCCCATAGTTGTTCAGTACGTTTTGGAAAGTGATCAAGCAATAGTCCTAGACTCAAACTTTGTGAAACTCTTTCGCCTAAGTCAGTTATCCGTAGAGTACTTATTATTTTGTAAAAAATATTTAGACAAAACTGTAGTTTTACTTAAAAAGGACGTAACAAAATTAAAACAGGAATTGAAAGAATTAAAGCATTATATAGAAGAACTAGAGTCTCATATTTCATCATCAAGAAATTTAACAGCAAGGTTTTCTTGTGAAACATGTTCGAAAATGTTTTCTTCTGAAGATTATTTAAATGCACATGTAAAAAGAAGACACAGTTCACCAGAAAACAAAAATAGTGTTGCACATGTACAAACAGAAGCAGAAAAATTGCATTCTGAAATAAAAGAACTAAAGGAAAGATTGAATAGTACTGAAAAATTCATACAGGAAAAACCAAGCCCAAGGGAGGTTGAAAATTTCAAAGAAGTCAGTACAGAAACTGAAGGCAAAACTGCAAAATTGGTGTGTGAGATTCAGGAGAGCTTTGAAAAGTTCAGAAACCAAGTTGAGGACAAAATGAATAATTTACAGACTGAAAAAAACTTCTTTACTGATAAATATGATAAATTGTTTGATGTGGTGCTCCACTACAAGAATAAGGAGAAGGAGGAAGGTGATCAAGACTCAAAATGTGTGGAAAAGCCAGTTATGGAAGTACCTAGGATCGAAGATAGCAGTACTCAAACAGAACATGAAAAAACAGAAAAGATTTTAAAAATACAAACATTTCAGCATGATAATACTTACGATGTTGCAGAAACTGTTATGCCTGAGAAGGCTGTGGAAGATATAGACCAGAAACTTGAGAAGAAATTGACTAATTTTGAGGAAAACATTGAAAGCAAGGTATGGTATTTCATATTTAACCTCATTAGATGCCAATCAAGGGAATGTTTACAGATTGCCTGATTCTTGACGCAAGTTCCTAATCTTGGACATTTTTCTTCTTTTTGTTTTGTTGAAAAGTTGTTTTTCCATTATTCTTTGTGGTTTTCACAGTTTTTCCCTTTGAAACATTTCTGTCACCCACAAAAACTATTGAACACATAAATTTTTAGATTTGCTTTAAGGAGGGGTCTTTATTATTCTTATTTTTATAGATTTCAACTGGTTTGGGTAATATAGAGAACCAAATCCAAGCATTTTGGCAAAAACTTTCAGAAGTAGATCTGCCAAACCAACAAGTTCCAGATGTCTCAAAGATAGTAGATAAACATGTACAACAAGAAGTTTCTAATGATTCTCCCACTCAAGAGGAAATTAAACCTGTGGTTAAACCTAGAACTAAATTTACAATCACTGAAGACAAGCAAATTCAAGAGGCATCTGCAAAAAAGCTGATTCAAGATACAGTTACCAAGAAGCACATCCAAGATGATGCAGATAGAGAAATTAGACCAAAGTCTTCCTTACAGCCAAAGTCTAAGCCTGATTTGCAGCCTGCTGTTATCATTAAATCAGCTGCTGTTCTTTATGAATCTAGTAGTGACTTGAGTGAATCAGAAGAAGCTTCTTTAGATGAAGAATTAATTGAGGCAAAAGAACATAGAATAGATGACAAATATGCTTCCACGGGTATGCTATATTTATTTTTATTCATAGGAATCTTTAGGATTTTTATCACTTTAGGAATCACCAATATGTTTGCATTGGAATGCAAATTTTGACTATTAGAACTGGATTACTACCATGTTTGGTTTAAAATAAAAGCATTATTACACATTTTTTTTATAACTGTTATAATAAAGTTTGTATTTTCCTAGAAGCCAAACCAAAACCATTTCTGTCAAAAATGGACCATAAACTTACTCCTGTCAAACCACAGATTGTTTCTAGTAAATATTTACCTCATAAAAACCAGAAAGATGATGCCCTAGAAGAGATTCGTCAGCAGTTGATAAGCACTATAGATTGTAGTCTTCAAGAAATGGGTATTAGCCCCCATTGGAATGGGATTCCACAAAAAACTTTTGAAAGGGCTCTAGAGATTGTTCAACATCAAGCAGCTGTCAGTAAAAAGGTAAATTTTATGTATAAACTCTTTTATTAACATTGTTGAAGGTACTTTAATTTTCTTTACAATAATACTGTTGATATGTTATTAAATGAGTATTTTATTGTATGTATAACTATTTGATAGTTGAAAATGAATATATTTAGAAAGGAAAAGCTCTACACATACTCTTTTAGTTTATGAAAATCCTCACTTAGGTAGTTCATGTAATAATTATATAAAGAATTATATAAACTTTAAAAAAATCAAATAAAATGGTGGTTTTTGGTTTTTACAGAGTCTTCCACAGTATGATTCCTTAAGAAAGTCTATTGAGAAAATGCTGAAGAACAACAAAGAATTGAAAGAAGCTGCAAAGAAAGTTAAAACCATTAGAAAGGAGGATTCTCCACATAAGAGCAAATCAAAACCAAAAACTATCAAAATTCAAATTAAGAAAAATGAATTACCAATGTAAGTAGGAATAATACAATTTTTTTATCTTAAGATATTAGATATAGAAAAACATTTATTTTTGAAAAAAAAAATAAAAATAAAACTAATTTTTACCAAATTTTGAAATATTCTTTTGTCTACAGATCCAATCCTTCTCCTGTGGTGACAATAAAAAACCCAGCACTGTATGAGACAGAAAGTGAAACTGACATGAAGCCTTACCTCCCCAAGAGCTTTAATCAAGAAAAAAATGACCCAGACAGAAAATCCCTTCAGGAGAAAGCTCATAGTGCCGTTATTGAGGAACTGCAGTCGAAATTTTCACTAAAACTAGCAGAGACTGATTCCGATTTGAATTCTATCGATGATAAAGATGTGCAGAAGGAAACCAAGAGTGCTATGAAGAGTTTTTCGTCAGAGGGGTCCTTGGTGAAGAAAAAAGTGTTTTTTGATGTGGAGAATTTGGATAGAGAGAATGAGGTGAAAGCAAAAACTGAATCAGAGTTGAAGACTGAGAAAAAACGGGAGGATAGTATTTCAGACTTTGAAATTACTTAAAAATTTGTGGGACAAGGTCTGAGAAATCTTACTAAAACAATTTTGACTGATTTTGAAAGTAATTTTCACAAAATACACAAAATATAAACACATTCAGAGAGCTGTCACAAACATTTCAAAACTTCACGAACTGATGATTTTGTTTTTGCACTGCAGATAGTTTACTTTTTTGCACATAATGATGAAATGTCAAATGTTTCTGTCATTTCAATATTTCCAAGTAATTTTACAGAATATTTATTTTAAGATTAAAATAAAAAATATGTAAATACAAATTCACTATGTACGTTAATTTTATTTGAGCAATCTTACCCCTCCTCATCCAGATAAACCGTTTTATATTCTAGGAATGAGTTGGTATTCTCTTCAAAATGACAAATATAAATAATAAGAGATAGAATATATTTGAGTATTAGAAATATATTAGAAAAAAAGGACATAGGGATTTAGAGAAAACTATGCCACATATGGTTGTAAAAGTTTTTATTTGGTCTCTGGTATAAACATTAAAAAATAATTTGAATACATTACATTCATCTATAAATGATCAGATCAAAAAATTCTTACAATATACATAATAAAAAAGTACCTGTACTTTATTCTTATAAGTAAATAAATATATACAGAAGTCTCCAAGACTCCTCCAGTCACACAAATAATGCATCTAGTTTTCCAAAGCCTTAAGCTCATTTTCACGACTTTTCAAAATATTATACAGTAAAAGACTTGCATATGAATCGGTTGCAGCATATATTTGCTGAACTTTTGACAGAGGAATTACATGCCACTGGCTATGCCTGACTTTTTTGTCTTTGCTTATTCGTAAGTCCAGAAGGTGATCCACCAGTCTCTCCAAGCTCCACCTGTTAGTTGTAGAAAGAATACTGTTAGCTAAATGTCCCAAATCAACGCAATTATCTACCATCTTATCACTATCAAAACCTGTAAAATCTCGTGCTAGTTTTCGAACGTCTTGTTTGATGCAATTCCCAGTCAGTCGCACGTTTGGATGGGTCAACAGTTCGCTGAGGGTTTTAGGTAGGTTTTTAATCTTACTTACGTGGAAGATATAACAATGCTTTTCGTCACAGCTAATCTGTATGGTTGCAGTTTTTCCGGGACCAGTTTTGAAGGAAAACGGCCACTCCAAATCAAATCCGATGATTAACAGCTCCGATGAACTGTTTGCTTTTTCTAATAAATTATCACTCACTAAAGCTATGTCTATTAGTTCTGTATGATAGGTAATTTTTCCTTTGAACTTTATAAATGGTCTGTTGGCTTTGTATTTGGCGATTTTCTCTTCTTCAAGCTTCATTCTTTTTGCTTCCTCTTCCTTCTCTTGTGGTGACGATCTGCGGCGTAAATTCATTTCGACCAAAAAATTATTACTAAAAACCCAGATAAAAAGTTTTTTTTAATAAAAACAACTAGTCCGGCTTGTTCAGTTCAGTGTTTTCGCGCCAATTCTGACATTTCATTTTCAACTAAATGTAGAGATGGGTGATTAAATATGTAAGCAAGTTATAAATAACTTATTGTAGTACCAGAATTAAATAAAAATATTAACCTGTGGTTGCAACATTTTTGTTGTGATTGAATACGTTTATCAATACTGAAAAGTAATAGCAATGCAATTGTGAGATGGCGAATTAAATATTTGACATAAACCACTTCCAATATAAAATGCAACTCTTACGTCATACGTCTTTAAAGAAAAAAATACAAATCATGGTCATAAGAAATAAAAAGTAACACAGCTAATAATAGAGGGTGATACTGATCTGTAACAGCAACAACGAATTCTTAGTTAAATGTTAATTTAGATATGGTACAAGAAAACAGTTATTTAAACATTGGGCTGGACAAAATAACACCAAAGATGATGAAGGAACTACCAGATAAAGGAATCATACTGATTACTTTCATCTTCAATGCTATTCTACGATTAAACTACTGACCAAAGCTCTTTAAAACCGTTGAAATAATACTAATTCCAAAAGCAGGAGAAAATCCAAACTAGGTTTCATCTTATAGGCCAATAAGCCTACTACCAGTCGTATCCAAAATACTTGAAAGGTTACTGTTACAAAAAATTAACTCAGACCCCAATACGGAGGAATGGATAGCCAACCACCAATTTGGCTTTCGCAAAAACACTCGACAATAGAGCAAGTTCATCAAATAGTACACACTATAAATTCTGCAATGGAAAGCAAACACTACTGTATAGCTGCTTTTCTAGATGTTAGTCAAGCCTTAGATAAGGTTTGGCACACTGGCCTGATTTTCAAAATCAAGAAATTTACCCATCACGTACCTGAAACTGTTAAAATCCGAGTGGGAGAGAATTCCGAAGAAGAGTAAATGAAGAGAATGAATTCGACATGGTCTTACAAGTGGAGAATTAAAATGAATGAAACAAATCAGTCCAAGTGACTTTTACCTTGAGAAGAGAACCGTGTCCCCCAGTTTCACATAACAATATCCAACTTCCCCAATCCTCTACCACTAAATACCTAGGAATACATCTAGGAGGAGGACTCAAAACTCGCCTGGAAAGAACATACTCTTAAGAAGCGGAAACAAATTGACCTAAGAATGAAAGATATAAACTGGTTAGTAGGCAGGAAACCGAAACTGAGCCTTGAAAACAAAATCGTTGTATACAAAACCGTCATAAAACCTATCTGGACGTATGGAATCCAACTCTGGGGATGTGCGAGCAAGTCAAACACAGCCATCATTCAAAGATGCCAATCAAAAATACTCCGAACGATAGCTGATGCACCTTGGTATGTATCAAACCTAACACTTCATGAAGACCTAAGAATCCCGTTCGTACAGGATGTAATCACTAAATACAACACAAAGCACTATGAAGCACTGGAATCACATAGTAACCCATTACTCCAACCTTTGCTAGAACACCAAGCCAATAAGAGACTCAAAAGGAACTGGCCAGCTGACCTGAAAAACGGTTAAAGTGGTCTTGTCACTGAAAAGACCTCACCACGCTAATAGAAGCCCCTTGCTCCGAAACCAGCAAATTAGCTTATAGAACTTTATTTGTGTTTTGATTGCTAAAGATTGTCATAATAAAAAAAAAACAAAAAAAAAAGAAAACTGTTACGGAACGATTTCTTGTTTATTTTTCTACATTGAAAATGATTAAATGTTAAATGGGATATAGGATAGAATATGGAACACAAGGACAGTATTTCATTATTTAATATTGTTCATAAACCATTAGAAGTATTAAACAAATTACAAATTAAACTCAAAACATGTTAAATTCAAATAAACAATTTTTAAATTCTGAAAATTGGTTAAATTGACTTGAAAACTTAAATTATATGAGAAATATCTTTTACTCCAAAGAATCATTTTTTGCTTCATTATTGCGCATCTGTCTCAATAAAAACTCTATGTTACTTTCTTTTTCCTTGATCTTCTTCTCTATACCGGGAACAGTTTCCGTAGTACTTTTGATTTCTGTTGCCAAATCCTTCAACTCTTCCACTCTTTTTGGCAATTTCACTGTACGGGGCGGAAGCTCGGCGATCGTTTGTTCATCTTGTTTGGCAGTTTCTAATTGTCCCGCCACTTTGGTTATTTCTTGTTCCAGGAATGATTCAGTCTTAAAATGCGTAACTAGGTTAAAAATATATTATGTTTGTTATAATAAAGAGTGAGCCATAAAAACATAATCAAAGCAGGCCTTGGACTAAGAATTCCGTTTTTCGGAGGGTTAGACACTCCCACACTAGAAATTCAAAATAAATTCGTACATTCGTCATTGCGCAGGATTACTAGGTCACTACAGAATCGTACATACATATATGATTCCATGGCCTATCTTAATTACAATTTTTAAAAATTAACGGGCCCCCTTAAAAATGGATAATTTGTGATGTCTTATATCTCCTAAACCTGTTGTCCGATTTAAGTGATTTTTTTTAATATGTTATAGCCTTATTCCTTGACAATATCATTAGAATAATATGGTTGCTAAACAGGTAAATTTTCATTGTATACGGGGTGTACGAATTAAATTGTGTTTTTTTCTTAAAGTTTGCATCACCCTGTGGAATATTCTAGCATTTATAAAATATTGAAATTAAAACCTATAACTATAGCCTCATGTTTTCTCAACATTTTGTTTTTTGATTCATTCGCTTATGTTGGATAATACAAAAGGTAGATAGTTTAACAATTAGCCATGTTTTTCATCAATACAGACGATTTAACTCACCAGCAAAATTAACCCAACCACGTTTATTATTGTTTTGTTTACATTACCTGTAACAGTGTTTCCTAAATTTTTGTCATCGAAGGATTTTTGACATATGTCGTTGTACGACATTGTTTCAAATCTGTTTCCGTGTTAATATCCATTGTTGAAGAATTTGTAGTTAAAATTAAATTTGTAATTAACAATTAAAATTGTAATTTTATATCATTGTGAGCGAATATTGTTTATGTTAAAATTTTAGTGCTTATTTATTGTTTGTGATTTTAAAAATGCCACTCTTTCCAACTGATGCTGCTAGGACAGTGGCTTTAGTTCATGCTGGTTACAGTCAACGTCATTGGTATACTCGACGTACCCAGAACTACGGTACAAGATCATCAGACGATTTCTGGAGACAAGATCGTACAACCGCAGTTCAGGTCAAGGCCGAAAACGATACACTGCAGTTCGAGATGACTGCTTCATTGTCACGAAAGTATTGAGAAATTGCTTTTGCACTGCTCCTAAAGCTAGTAGGTCTCTTCTTGAGGTAAGAAACGTTAATGTGAGTAGACAAACGATTAGAAGAAGACTGTCAGAAATAAACTTAAGGGATTTTTGTCCAACCGCACCACAACTGCCCCCACAACACCGTAGGGCTAGAATTCATTTTGCGCGAGAATATGCTAACTGGACTATGGCGGAATGGAAGAATATACTGGTCTCAAATGAGAACAAAATAGCCCTTAAGGGACCAGGTGGACGCCAACGTGTCTATAGGCGTCAAAATTAAAGGTTTGCTCCATGCGCTATAACCGAAACAGTGGATTACCTCAATAATGATTTGGGGAGGTATTTCTTACGAAGCGCATAATGACCTTTTAATGAGGCCATTACCTTAATGAGACCGGGATTCAAGTTCTACCATGGCCAGCACACAGTCCCGATCTTAACTCAATTGAGCATATCTGGGACAACCTCAAAAGACGGGTAAGAGCAAGAGTGTACCAGCCCCTGCATCTTTTGAAGAGCTGAAGACAGCTGCGATAGAGTAGTGGCACAATATCCCCCAATCTAATATCCAGGATATCATGAATGGATTGCCAAATCAGCTCCAAGAAGTGGAGGCGGCTAGAGGCGGCAACACCCATTATTCATACCCAATTTTTGTTCACTTAGACTTTGATTTCCAAAATACTGTTTAAATTTGAAGTTTTTTCGAAGATTTTATTCATTGGATTTTACTGTAACAAATGACTTTTTTTCAAAAAGATTTTGTTTTTCGTCCACGAAGAAAAAAAAAACAGTTTGATTCGTAGACCCGGAATACAATGAAAATTTACCTGTTTAGCAACAATATTATTATAAAGATATTGTCAAGGAATAAGGCTATAACATATTAAAAAAATCACTTAAATCGGACAAAAGGTTTAGGAGATATAAGACATCACAAATTACCGATTTTTAGGTGGCCGGTTAATTTTGGCCTAGAGTGTATTCTACGTCGACATAGATATCCTATTGATGACAGATAGAAAAAAAAACCATAGCTGAAAATGCTAAAAATATATTACTTACAAATCTAGTTTGCAATTGCTCCAATTGTTTTTCTGTATCTTCCATCTTTCGGGCATTGTCGTCACTGAAATTTAAAATATTTATTTAGATACAGCATTTTGTTTTGTTTAACTGACAAGGTTCTATGGTAAATATTATCTTGGGTAGTAAATAATATTGTTGTAACTTAGTTGCCCATTTATTAATCACTGCTTGTACAATATTTCACTATTATAAACTTAAATATATCAGTACTTAATTGACGATGACGATAGATGATGCCTTACTGGCCATAGTGTCGGTATAATAATTAAGATCCCCGAGAATGATTGGTGTTGCTTTTAATAGCCTCGGCCTTGCTGGCTCAGCGCTCTTGTTACTATTCGTGTCAAGTGTATTCCCTGACCTACACCACAAGTAAGTCGTGCAATTTTACTAGAGTGCTGACTGGCTGTTTTAATTAGAGTATGTTATATATGAATGTCCTCGATTTAAATTACCAAATGTTTACATAAACAAAATGTTACACGAGTATGAATTATAATATTATTTTATCTGTAATTCTGATATTTAAGGGTTGATATTACAGTTCGCCCAGTCAACTCTCGGTATTCGATACATTTTGATATAGAAACACAAATCTTGCGACTTTTTTTTATACAAATCAACAACAAATGCAATTTTCAAATTAAGTTGATTGCAATATAGAAATAAATATGTTTGTTCTACTCTGTGGGCTTTTTGTTATAATAGACGACCCATTTCTGTATATTTTATTTATTACAAGACCAACTAATACCTAATACTAATACATAATTATCTCTAAAGAGCCATAAGACCAGACTGTCCATGTCTGTCCTTTTTTTTTCACTGCCGGGCTTCTTCTTCTATTTGACACATCACTAATGTTAAGGTAGGTTTAAAAATATTAAGGTAGATTTACAACATAACACAACACAACAAAATATTTGGTGTTTTATTTATTAATCTTGGAAAAACATATAATAAAGTAGGGGAAAGGGGGGAATATTAAGCATTTTGTTTTATTTATACTGCTACATAGCTTTAAAAATTATACTGTTAACGTAAATAAAACTTCAAACCTTAGTGCTTCAAACTTTATTTACGAAATATTTTTAAATAGAACAAAAAAAAATTAAAACGGTTTTTCAGACTTCTGCTGGTGGCCAAATTTACCCGCTGCTGAGGGGTAAAAGTGGCCACTGCCACTATTACCCCCATGTAAAAAATAATTAAATGTAGAAATCGTCGAAAAAATAGTCTTTGTGTACCCATTGGCGGCAAATGCTGCATTGGATCCAGAGTTCTCTATTTTTACCGAATGCACCACAAATTATGCAAATATCTTCGTTACCGTTCCTATCACGGTCATCGTCATCATCCTCATCTTCAGATGATATATCTTCTGTGTTCTTTTACAATTTCTTTTTGGAACTATTCGCGGAGGACTGGACTCTTCGATGCCTATTTTTCGTTTGGTTCCTCTGCTGGCTTTATTTCTCATTTGCTTTTCCTTCTTCCGCTGTTTATCTTAGTCTTCTTCTGGTAATGGAATTATGTCAACAAAAGATACTTCAAACTTTTTGTCATATGTCGAACTTTCTTTATTCGTCTTAACTCCCTTATTATCCTTCTCCTTATCTAATCCACTTTTTTTCTTTTGGTCTAGTGTCTTTTTATCGTTTTCTTGTATAAATGATTCACCTGGAGCAAAGTCTTCATCGGTCACATTTTCAGGATTCCCTCTCTTCAATCCTGACCCCCCAGGGGGAGTGTAGTGATCGACGTGATGTCGTGTATTGTCCGTCTCCAGAGATCTCTGTCTCTGGTCATTTCTTTTAATTCATGCATAGGTCTTTGGCATATTCCTGTAATTTGATCTATCCATCTTGTTGGGGATCTTCCTCGTGATCTTCGGCCTTCTATCTTTCCTTGTATTATGAGTCTTTCCATGTTTTCTGTGTTTGCTCTCATAACGTACCCAAAATATTTTAATTGTTGGAGATGGACTTTACTAGAGAGTCGTTGGCTAACTTTTAACTCTGTTAAAATTGAATTATTTGTTCTACGGTCGGTCCAAGGAATTCGTAACATTCGTCTCCAACAGAACATTTCAGTGGCGTCTATCTTTCTTCTCTCCGATTGTCTCAGAGTCCAAGATTCACATCCGTAGGTCAGTATTGGGAATATTAAGCAGTTGATCAACCTCATCTTTATCGCTCTTGAAATTTGACAGTCCTTCCATATTTTGGTCATTTTTGCTGTGGCAACTTTTGCTAGATCACATCTACGTTTAATCTCTTCTTGTAATGATCCTGTGTTTGTGATTAATGATCCCAGATATAAGTATGAGCTCACAACCTCGAACCGGTCAATTGTGGTTATGTGTGGATGATTGTTGTGTAGTCTATCCACTATCATGATCTTTGTCTTTGATATGTTTAATTGCAGACCAAATATTTGACTTTCGTTTTCTATCAGTCGTATAAGTTCCATCAGCTCTGCTTGACTATTTGCAAGAAGGGCTGTGCCATCTGCGAAACGTAGGTTGTTTAGTTTATGACCATTTATTGAGATGTCCTTTTCCCATCCTTCAAGTGCCCTTCGCATAATATACTCCCCATATATGTTGAATAATTGTGGAGATAGTATACATCCTTGTCTGACACCCCGTTCTGGATGAAACTCGCTCGAAAGTGTGTCAAGTACTTTAACTGATCCAGTAGTGTGTTTATATAGTTCAGTTATAAGCGTAATTAGATGTTGTGGTACGCCTACTTCTTTTAGTATTCGCCATAAGTGTCTCCACTTGACCCTGTCGAACGCTTTACGGTAATCTATAAAACAGATGTATAGTGGGATGTTGAATTCCCTAGATTTCTCGATTATCTGTCTTATATTCAGCAGGTGTTCTCGAGTGCCTCTACCTTTGGTAAATCCAGTTTGCTCTTGTGGAATTTCTCTTTGAAGGAATGTTTTCAGTCTCTCATTGATTATATGTAGCATTATCTTGCTGACATGGGATATAAGAGAGATAGTTCTATAATTGTCGCATTTATGGAAGCTGCCTTTTTTATGTATGGTCGTTATTGTAGATTTTGTCCAGTCTTCAGGCCATTGTTTGGAATGTCATATTTGGTTACAGAGTAGATGAAGTAACTTTACGCCGGTTTCTTCTGTGGCTTTAAGCATTTCTGCTGTTATCATATCTGCTGTTATCATATTTTCAGGATTATATGGAAATATTTCTGTATTCTCAAAACCTTTAATGGCTTTGACTGGTGTGTCTACGCGACCGTATGAATTTTTAAATATTTCAGCTATTTGAAATGTCGTGATACGCAAATGGGGATGACTTCGAAGATAATTCCACTATTCCCCCCCTTTCCCACAAATTAGGGATGTGGTGTAGAGAGGGAAATATATAAAAAAGAAATATGATATATCTTTTAACCTATCTTTCCCGGCTATGTGTTGCGCTATTGTCAACGGTGTTTTGATATTTCCTCAAGGTGATGTTTTTGAACATCACCTTCAGAGCACTATCGTACAAAAGGTGCTACTTCGATTCAACTTTGGAGGTTCAATCGTCTGAAATTCCTTTGGGAAGAACTTAAAAAAGTTGTGACTGACTTACTGGCAAATGCCTAAGCAAAAAAAATCGTCTGAAAATGCTTCCCTTAAGAAGGACTAGGTGAGTTGAGAAAATTATCTGAGGAATTTCTGATTCGATTTGTCAGGAGAGTTTCTAGACAACCTATATAATATGTTGAAGGAATTAATATAAGTACATGTATAATAGGAAAATTCTAGAAATCAGATCTAGAACTGGAACTTTTTGTAACGAGAAAATTAACATCTTTTGAAAAATGATGATTAGAAGATACGTCGATGGTAAACTTATTGGAAGACACAGGAGGACAAAGAGATCCGCCCAATCTGTATAGAAAATCGCAGAATAACAAACGATTATCGAAGTTGAACTATATCATATCATATAAAATTATAGAAATTTTAGAAAAACATTTCTTTACACTATAAACATAAATTATCTATGTGATACTTACAACTGGTCTTTTTCATTGTCAAGTATCTTCTTGCCATCATCTTGTACGTTACGATTTTTAGCGTTCAATTCTTGTGTACATTTAACAATAACAGAGATTTTCTTCATGAGTCTATTATGAGCCAATTTAAGACCCAAATAATGTGCATATTTCTCGCTTTGATCGAGCTCCAGTTTCTTAGCCGTATTTTCTTTCTCCTCGTGGAGCTTTTCTAGCTCCAACTTTTTTGTGGACGGATTCTCAACGTTTTCATCCTAAAAATACGCACAAAAACTAGAAACAGCTTAAATAGGTCGTATCATTTGTTTCTCCACCTTGTACTTATATCTGTATAAACGAAATTAACATTGTATTAACATTATTAACATACAATAAATTTAATTGTCCTCTGGGGGGTTTTGGTTGGGCACCGAAATTTTTATGCTACCTCCACCATTTTAAGTCCTTAAAATTTGTAAATAACAGTGTCGGAATAGGGTCCTGAGGAGGTTTGACCCCAAAATCCCCCCTGGGTGCGCCACTGAACAAGCGCATTGACAGTAAAATCATAAATATAGTGCATACATTATATTGGAATCACCATAGTTCAAATTGATGGGCAACACTCAAAGGAATGAAGATCTGTAGAGCAGTTAGACAGCGATGTGTTTTATCGCCACTTTTGTTTAACTTATATTCTGAAGAAATTTTCCAAAACACGCTCAATAATATCAAAGCGGGAGTTACCGTTAACGGAAAATTAATTAACAACTTACGAAATGCAGACGACACTGTGACATAGTAACGAGTATAGAAGATCTACATCTTACCGAAAGCTTAAGTATAATTAGTGCTTAGATGGGGATTACTATAAACGCTAAAGCAACGAAGTACATGCTTTCAATGGTAACGTGATTTTACTGTATTGGTAAAATCTTAATAAACATGATTGAGAAAGAATACGAACCTCATGAAATTGAACAGCAAGCAGGATTTAGAGCTGGAAGATCTTGCGTAGACCACATATTTACCCTAACACAACTGAATGAAAAGAAAGTTGCAAGAAACCAGGAAATACATCTTTTATTTGTGGATCTCACAAAAGCATATGACACGATTCCTGTGACAAAGCTGTGGCAGTCTCTTGAACGATCTTCATTAAATAGCACGATCATCGCCGCAGTCAAACAATTATACAATAAAGCATCATCAAAAATCAAACTAAACAACACCTTATCAAAAGAATTTCCAGTGACAAAAGGCTTACGACAAGGATGCTGCCTCTCTCCAATACTATTTAAGATCTATTTAAATGAAGCACTAAAACACTGGAGAAGATCCTGTTCAGGAATGGGGATCCAACTTGACGACGATACAACATTATACACTCTACTGCGGACGACCAAGTAGTAGTGGCAGCAGACAAGGAAGATTTAGAATTCATGACGAGACGGTTGTTTAAAACATATGAAGAATGGGGCCTCTCTGTAAATAGAAACAAAACGTAATACTTATGCATCGGGAATGAAGTAGAAGATCTAATGGTCAACGAACATGAAACAATTAAGAACTGTGAGGAATATATATATTTGGGAACAACAATCAACAAGAGTGGGCGCACCGAAAAAGAGATAGAGCAAAGAATCGTGAAAGGAAAAATGGTGATAGGATGCCTAAACCCGATGCTATGGTCAAAAGAACTATCAAATCAAAGAAAGCATCTCCTCTTTAACTCCATCTTTAAAAGTATAGTGCTCTATGGATGCGAAACATGGCAACTTACTAAATCCCTTGAGCGACGCCTACTTGCATCGGAAATGGACTTCTGGAGAAGATCAGCTAGAAAATCAAGGCTTGATAGAATACAAAATGACCATATCAGAATATAATGGGAGTCAAGTCAACCATCATTGACGAAATTCAAAGGAGACAACTGATCTGGTATGGTCATGTGAAAAGAATGGACGACGACAGGTAATGGTAACGTGATAGAACAAGTAGAAAAATATCAGTACTTGGGAACTTTAATCAATGAAACCAATGATCATAGAGATTGCCAGATCAGCATTTATACGAATGAAGCCACTCCTAACTTGCAAAAATCTTAATTCGAAGATCAGACTACGTACCATTTGCTGTTATATATTTTCGATATTATTACATGGAGCTGAGACTTTTATACATTAAAAAAATGGAATTTAAAAAGAATCGTGGCTTTCTAACTCTCGCAGAGTAGGTACTAAAAATATCACGGACTGATAGAATTACAAGACTGATAGAATTACAAATAAAGAAGTACTGGAAAGGGATGGTAAAGAAACAGAACGCATACATGATGATGATATATTCTTATTAAAGTAACAAACGATTTTTAAAATTTTCCTTTATATTTTTTTATTAGGTCCTTGTCAAATAAAAATATGTCAAAAATTAAGGGATATAGCAATTTCTTCAAATATTTTTTCACAAAAACACATCAGGTAGACTTTTTCGTATAATTTATTAAACATTAGTACATTTTAGGCCGAAAAATAAATAGTGGGGGCCAAAAAGACGAGACATCTCTGAGATGACTTTTCTTTTTTCTTTATTACAAAAGAACAAGGAAAAATAATTTTTATCAGTCCTCGTAAAAGATAATTTATTTAGAAGTTGAATGGTAATAATAATAAAGAAATAGTCCACATAACTGTTTAACCTAAATTCAGCAAATTTGATGAAGTGCACACCAAATTGTTCAATTACCTAAATTGCTACGACCAGCGGAAAAATGACTAAGAGTGCGAGGATCTTTTAATTATTGTCGCACGTACAGCCAGGCAGCTAGAAATTCCATTTTTATTATCACGCTATCGCAAACTGTAGTGAAACTGACAAATTGATAAGAAAACGAGATAAGTGTTTCCTTTAGTTATATTCCCAATACGAACGTAACTATACAATGTGTGTTTAGTGTCAAATATCCATCTATTGTGGATTTTTTTCTCGAAAAAATCGGGACACTGGCTGAAGAATGTGATATTTTTGTTATTGCAAATGTAAGTAGTGTTTTTTATCGTCGTCGTTCTTACAAGATTAATTATTTTGATGTACTGTTTGTTTAGTAAATACGCCCTTACTTTCACGTCATCGTTTTTGTTTCATTGGAGAGTACGAAATGAATAATAAATTTTCGTGATAATCTTACTGACGCTGATAGATCATAGGCGGTACTTTTCTTAACTACATTTTTAGAAATTATTTATGTAATAGTGGTAAAGATGATTCATGGATTAAGAAAATCTTCCTGGTTTCTGTTATTTTGAGTAGTTAAGTTAAATCGCAAAGTGGTTTTGTTTAAAATTGTTAAAAAAAATACCAATACTATATAAGATCGAAGATAGAAGATCAAAGGGCAGATTGAATGCCAAAATAACTAGACCTAAAAACTTGGTCGTATATTTTCTGTTTTTGCATACAGTGTGTAGCAAAAGTAACGTTATACAGTAATATTATACAGGTTGTTTCAAAAAGGTATGTCAAAATTAATTCACGCATTCCGGGGACAAAGATAAATTAATTGAATCCAACTTACCTTAGTACAAAAGTGTACACAAAAAAAGTTACAGCCGTTTGAAGTTACAACATAAAAATTGTTGTTTTGTTTTAAAAAGAAAATAAAAATTGTGTTTCTGAAAGCATTTTTCATACAAAATAAACAACAAAATCTAAGCGCACAGCAAAATTTTAAGGAGGGTGTGCAGCCCTAAATCCCCCCAAACTTTTGTGTATGTTCAACTCAAATGAATTTTGTGGGATCATTAGTTTAACACATTATTTTTAAATTTTTTTTGCCTCTTATCACTTTTTTCAAAAAACAGCTTTTATTGAGTTACGGCCTATTTAATTAACCTTTAAAAAATTACGTGCAACTAAATAAATGGCTTAAATGAATTAACAAGTCCAAAAAAATTCTATAACCTCTACAAATATGATATTAAAATAAATGTTCGAAATGACCCACATTTTCTTCATAACACATTCGGTATCGTTTTAATAAGGAAAATCGAATGCGTTGAAAAATCATATTTTTCTGACGAAATTGATTTGCAGCTTCAATTATTCTAACCCTCAATTGTTGTTCGTCCTTAATACACATTTCTCTTTCATAAACCCCCAAAAGCAAAAGTCTATGGGGTTAAGACCTGGACTTTTGGGTGGCCAAGAATTAGGTGCGTCACGAGCCCTTCCAATCCACCGACCAGGATACTGCCTGCAAAGGTATTTCCTGACTTCATTACTGTAATGCGGTGGAGCGCCATCTTGTAGAAACCACATATTTTGCCTAATTGCAATACTTACTTCTTCCAAATACTCTTGTAAATCGTTTGCCAAGAACTGCAAATAATTATCACCATTTAAATTGTTGGGAAGAAATACTGGGTCTATTAGATTGTTATCCACAATTCCTGTCCAAACATTAACTTTGAAAATCCGTTAGTGATGAGTCGTTTTTTGGCGTGAGGATTTTCGTCGGCCCAAATGTGCTCGTTACGATGGTTTGTGTTACTTTGTTTTACTTTGTAATTAGGACATAAGGGACGTTCCCATCTTGTTGATGTTTTTTTACACATCTGCGGACTGTTTACAAAGATAGTCCTTTTATTCGTGCTACTTGCCGTTTAAAGGTGCCACCTTGTACTAGTTCAATAGCATATCTCATCAGATCTTCAGAGAATCTTCCAATTTTGCGATTTGTTTTATTTTTTCTTGGCATTTTCTTTCTGTAGGAGAAATTATTTTGCAAATGATCTGGCTTATACAACTATACCGGAACAATTATCAATATATGAACAATGAGACGCGTTTCACTAATCGATACTTCCAGGTCAAAAACAGTGAAGCAGTATCAAACATATCTCCAATTCTATCGGGAATACCTCAGGGTAGTATAATGGGACCAACTTTATACCTACTCTATACGGCAGATATTCCCACAATAGTAAACAGCACAATTGCTACCTATGCAGATGATACTGTGATAATGGCTTCTAAATAGCTCGGTTCCTGTTACAGCCTGTCAAAATTTACAAATTCATTTAAATGAGCTATAGAAATGATTAAAACTGTGGCGAGTTATTATAGTAAATGGCAGCAAATCAGCACATATACCATTTAATAATATAATCAACTAGAAATATAACACAAACCAGCGAAAAAATGGCGAAATATCTAGAAAACAGAAGATTCTAATCAGATATTCGTCTTTTAAATCATCATAACTCCTCTTCCAAGACTCCAAATTAAAGGTATTGATGTCGACTGATCGATCAAATGATTTTCTAAAGAGTAGCGTCTCTCTAGCTAAAATTATAACTCAAAAACGACGAAAAAAACGGTGAAAACGCCAGATACGACGGTCCTATTAAAATTTTCGTCTTTTAAATCAGCGTAACTCTGGTTCTAAGAGTTTAAAATGGTACATCTGGGGTTTAAAAGTAATGGTATTGATATCAGATATTTACTCAAATAACTTTCAAAAGAGTAGAGCATCTCTAACTAAAAATGTAACTCATTAAACGAAAAAAAAACCGATTTTATCGAAGTTTAACTGTCCTGTACCATTTTAAAAATTCTGAAAAAATTCGGGAATATAGTTTTGGTGATTACACTTCATAATATATATGTTTTTCGAGCTAACTATATTTTTTTTATTATTTTTAGTCGTTTAATATTTTCAAAAGCTCAAATCAATTTGAATTTCAGGCCAAGTCTCATTTTTGTTCAAATATTTTTGTAAAGCACAAAAAAACCTTTAAATAAAAAAAAAAGAAATCTATTTAAGTAAAAAGTTATGGACAAGACACGATTTTTGGCTTTTTATTAAATTTTGAGGTGATGTGTCAATATTTTGTGCTAAAATTTGGTGAATCTTCATATTTTGTGATGCTGAACCATGGACGTATATGTGCTGAACAATACACCAAAATTTGAGGTCAAGTTTCTCCTGGAGGCAATTTTGACATTCTTATCCGGCTATGCCCTTTTCTATGATACGCAGGTCTCTGCCATCAATGCCGTTGGTTCTTAGGATGATCAAAATAGTTCCATTCTGTATACTATCAAAAGCCTTTTCGTAATCGTTGAAAGCTACATAAAGATCTTTAAATTGGTCTGAAGAAGGACATTTAAGCCAAAAAGTGCCTCACGACTTCCCAGCGCATTCCTAAATCCATATTCAGCAACATTCACACTTTAAAACTATCGATAACTAGATAAAATAAAATAAAATAAAATAAATAGATACTTAAATACAAACATTTGGTAAAATATAATTCCAAAACATTATACGAAAAGTCTTTATTTGATGCTAATCACACACCGATATTATCGATCAAAAATGATTTGATTTCATATTTCAAAAACTTCGTTTGGTGAATTCCCATACTCGGGCCTCGTAATTCTATAGGATTTTTAAATATCTGATTGTCAATCACTTCTATTATCTATCGATAATTTATTGTGAACATATACATACATGGACAAGTACCTGTCTACTGTAGGTGTTCAGTTAATTGATCTGTTTAGTGAAAGGTGCATTTTAAATCATAAATTATTGATGTACACAGTAAGACCAATCTCTTTTCCTTCATTTTGCTTACTTGTACGTAGCTTCATAACAAATATGCAAGTTTTTGCCCCTTAGGTTCAGGTACACTTAATCAAATTTTAATAAACAATACAAAAGGTATTAACAATTTTCAAAAACAGCGACTTTGTTGTTCATTCTACAATAACTTTCTTGTTTATTAACCGATTTTAATTTTATATATTATAATAAGCAAATTCTTTAGTGAAATGAAGTCAGTCAGAAAAGGTGCAAATGTTGGAGTAACACAGCCTATGAGAAATGAAGCAGGTGAACTTATAATGATAGAAACGGAAATCGTCGAACGATGGAAGGAATACTTTCGGAATTTACTACATATTGCAAGTGATACGGAGGAAGCAGATATTACGTTTCATTATGCAGATATCGAAATACCAGCACCAACACTTGAGAAAGTAAAGAATGTGATCGCGTATCTAAAAGACCATAAAGCACCAGGAAATGATGGCATAAATGGAGAATTGTTAAAAAAAGGAGGAAACCTTTTACACCAAAAATTGTATGACATCATTCTGAGAGTATGGCAGCAACAAAAAAATGCCTAGAGAATGGAATAGAAGCGTTATAATTCCCAAATATAAAAAAGGAAATAAAGAACAATTCAGAATCTATAGAACCATATCGCTTATTAGCATATCATATAGAAAAATCACAGCTGAAAACCATATAGAAAAAGAAAAAGAGATCTCAGCAAGGATAGCTGCGGGAAATAGAGCATTATACTTCCTTTCAACATTATTAAGATGAAAGCGACTAAAAAGAAGATCTAAATTAACACTGTACCAATAAGCCGATCTCTCGGCTATATATCAGAAACTATTCATGTTATAACTTTAGGAGAAAAAATTCCTTAATACCTAGAAGCTTTCAAGAGAAATCGCTGGAAATAACTTTTGAAAACCAGTTTTTTGTGAAATATGCCCAATTATACCAAGTGTTGAATAAGTAAACTAGAAAGAGGCCTAAATTCCGCACAGAGTTCTTCAAATACTTTTTTTTATTTTTTCAAATAAAGGGTGGGGGAGAGTGGGAAACTATTTGTGGATAAATACCTATAACTTTGGTTTGGATCAACCGATTTTAAAGAAATTAGTGACATTAGAAAGAGTGTGGATGAATTAATTTACATCTTTTATAATATAATTGTATTTAGTTTCAATTGTCATAAGTAGACGGTACTTCCGAATAGAAAAAATTAAAAATTGTTTTTCTTTAAAATGTTAAATGGGAACACCTATTTATTGTAAATTATAATGAACTGAATTAAATTCGTAACAAAATGGCGCAAACCGCATCTTAATAGCTTTTTGTCGAACTCGAGATAAAAACGCATAAACATAAGTAAGTGTAGTATTGACTCACCCTGTATTATAAATTAAACAATAAGACAGTAGGTACTTTAATTTTTTTATAGCAGAAGAATCTTAATGTTGATACCTATTTTGAAAATTGTTATTCCATATGATTAAAAATAGTTTTTTCGAAACTAAGTAGGCTACGACAATGAATTTGACGGAGAATTCATATTGTTTATTTATTGACATCAGTCAAAACATTGTTAAAAAGTGTTATATTATAATTCGAATTGAAGATTGCATTTTTTTCAATAGATAATAATATTGGTAATATTATTAGTAATTAATTATCAGTACTAACAAGTCGTGATGAGTATATCAAATGCAGAATTGTATAATATGATTGGAGTTTATTTCGAATGTCAGAAAAATGCCGCTATTGCCTCACCTATATATTCTGTAAGATATCCTGAGAGGAGACATTATGGTAAAGAAGTATTAGTATTTGTTTAAAAACGAGCCCTCTATCACTTATGGTTACACGGCAAATGTATGCCAACTTTGACCTTCAATATCTCGGCAACCAGTAGGCCGAATTTCTTTAAGTGTATAAATTTTGAAATTGATATGTTTAAAGCTCGTAAAGTTATTCAATTTGTTTATAAGCATAAAAAATGTTTAAAACATTATAAATTTTCTAGGCTCTTCTAGTGAACCGATTTGAATTTTGAAAGTTTTGATTTGAAAGTTTGAGCCTTCCTTTATATGAAAAAAAAAAAAAAAAATTACAACTATCTGAGGGCCTTATTTAGGGTCTACTATAAATTTAAAAATTTGCGATTTTTTTCCAGTAGGCTGGATTGCAAAATTATTATGCAAAACCTATCCGACCGATCTTAACAAAATTTAGCACACGTTTTAAACATATTAAAAAGTTTTTCTAGGCAGAATATGGAGCTTGTAAGTCAAATTTAGAAAGTCGAAAACATTTAAAGGATTAACTTTTATTAATAATTAATAATTAAGGATACATTTTTTTGTTCTTTTTTTCCCAATTATTGCTATTTTTCAACAATCAACATTAAATTTTCAATTTCTAGCTAACGAAATATTGTGTAAAATTGAATAACGAAACTTTTAACTTCTCATAATTTTTTCTCTAGGATCAATATTTTCCGAATTATAAACGAAAATAGGAGCAAAAAAAATGAGAAATTTTCAATTGTTTTCAGATTTTGTTAAATAAAAAATTTAGCACAGGGTTTGCGACTGGCATATCATATAGCATATCATGATTATCGATATTGGGCACATCCTGAAGGGATTCCAGCAAAAAAAAATAGCTTCCTATGGAAAATGCCCAATCCAAAACAGATCCCGCCTAGACTATAACTTATAGTGTGACTTACACGTATGGTAATATTTTGTTCACCCTGTATATTGTGATATGTCTTTAATTGTTCATAGTGCATTTAAGGGAGACTACGTAACGCACGGCGGAAGTAAAACCACTTTATTTTCTTTATATAGCTATTCAATACTCGACTAATTAAGATTCTCTAGGCATTTCGGCCTCTTGCCCAATCGGCGGATTGTTTGCTTCGGTATCGCATTGTCGAATACCGGCACACGGCGTGCACCACGCACCTAGTGCATTTACAATTATTACGATGTTGTTTCGAGACATAGTTTTATTTGTTTAATGAGGTGAATATTTTTTAGCCTTCGCCATGACAACTGTAAAGGTAACTGTCGTCGGAGATGGTATAGTGGGAAAGACATGCTTGCTCAGTACTTACACCACCGGGGAATTTCCTAGAGAATATATACCTACTGTGTAAGTAGTTTTTACTTTATTTAATAATTTTTTTAAACAAACGTATCGATGAGTATTTGTTGCTCATTTTTTCGGTGATTATTCAGTAATTTTAAGAAATCTGCCACATCTCCTAATTGATCTTATCTAAGACATTATGTATATAACTCATTGACTTCTCTTTGTTGCTCAGCATCTTCTATTATTAATATCCTACACTCCACACTTTAACGCATAATTCACACATCCCAAATACCTACATTATCAAAAGGATTGAGCTCTGTGTGATTGTTCCAGGTTATCGAAACCTATATGACCTAAGTTGTCTTCTTTCAGTGGCACGATAGCTCAAATAGGACCTTACACTTCTCTAATTTCTGTCTCCAACATTGGTGGTCGTGATCCACCTCACTTCCATGTGGCTTTTCTTTTGCATTTTATTATTTACAACTTCTCTTGATAATTGTTTACCAACCATAGAGATAAGTGAGTGGAAAATTTATTGATGCCAAATATAACTCTCATAACATATTATTAGTTTAACAAAAAACAATGGATACAATAAAAAGTTATTACTATATTTGACTCAAAAATGAACTTTTGCTAATAAAAAATATCGTTTTTTCTCTTGCGAGGTGTGGAAACCCTAGTAGAGAAAAATTATAAATAAGTTTTATTAAAAATTCACGTCACAAAGCCACCAATATTTTTTAATTCCGCTGTAGACCCAATGCTTCGATTTCAAGTTACAAAAACTTTCTATTTTCTGAGAATTGTAAATTCTAACCCAAAATAACGACATTTTAATCGTTTCAGATAAACAACAATGAACATTCATAATTACTGGTCGTAAGGTTGAAAAATTTCAATAATCTGTTTTAATTATCCACTTTCTTAATTACTTCAACTTTATTTTAGATCACCAATTATGTACCGGCTTAAAATTTCATAGCAAATATTTTCTTATCGAGGAAATACATTTGTTGGTGTATTTATGTGTATATTATTATTGATTCTTTGTTTATAAACATTAAACAAATATAAACTCAAAACAATTACTACTTTAATTTAAAAACAGACTTCAATTTAAAGACAAAATACAAGTTTTAATACAATATTTTCGTCAACAGTAATTTCAAAGTAATATTTTGTATAATTTCAGTAAAGACATAATAACGCATTGCCCAAAACTAGTTTATATTTTGACTTATAACGATATATCAGTGCTTGAGTTAAACAAAAAAACCTTTAAAAAACTATGGATGGCACCTAAATCAACACAATTTAACATGATTTCATATATAAAATCAATAATTTCACATGTAAATTATTATAAAATTAAAAAAAAGGACAAAAATCACTACCATAAATTATTTTTATTGACCTATAGTACGTACCTATTATCTGAATACCAAAGGCCGCATAGATATTTACAACAATTTAGTTCAAAAATTAAGTTTTATTTGTTTCTAGTTTTGAGCACTACGGACAAAAACTCATAGTCGATGATGTAGAATATGATATGACCCTATGGGACACTGCCGGACAAGAAGATTACGAAAGACTTAGGCCATTGTCTTATCCACACGTAAGTTTTGTGTGTTTTAAATATTTTATACATTGATTAGATTTAATATATTATTTATATTCGTGTGCGAACAATAGCAATTTCCCGAAAACTATAATTAAACACCGCTTTATTATCATTGTAATGATAAGCACCGCAATATATGTACTTAACCAGTAATAAGATAAAAGATATATAATTAAAACCTACCTTTAATATGTAAGTACAAGTTTTGAGAAGATCGGCGCATTCTTCAAAGATTTTTTCATCTTGCATTTGATCCATCTTTAATAGATTTTAAGAGCGGTATAATCACTTGGAACTATTTACTGAAAATGCATTTTGACAGTTCCCTACAGACACTTTACACAGTCATTTGTTTTCAACGCTTGCTTACAGCAGAAAATTCCAATCAAAACGCTTAAAATCAATTTTAATCTATTAAAAAATAAAAAGGTTCTATACAATTCTAATATTCTAATATAATTTATAGATTGATTAAATTATAAACGTAGAAATCGTGATACATATTTTTCAAAATTTATTTTATTTCTTATTATTAGGGTAGTATTGTATGTAGTTATTGCAATCAGTGGCGTCTCGCTTTAAAAATTTAGTCTGGGTTTAAAAATTATTTTTATTTAGTAGATTCTTAGATTATTTGATTAATGGTTTTTGTAAACTACTTTTATAGGAAGAAATGAATGCACGTTTTAGCTGGAAGTACTTTAGAAAAACTGTTTTTTAATAAAAAGTCTGTAGTAAATGTCTAAAAGTTGATATGTGGATTTTCATTATTGCATGTTGTAGGGGAAAGTGGGGGAACCGTGCGCGGTGGGGAACGGTGCGCACCATTAAAATTCAAATTACGCGGCATACTGAGAGTCCCCTCCCGAACAGGCTTAAGCGGGAACATGCACAGAGTCTCTGAAGCCATTAACTGCCACTGCAGTTGAGTTGTGTACTTAGTGAAAGGCGAAAGTGTGCATTTGAGGTTTTTGTTACTATTTTCCACTTGCACAAATTAAGACGGTGAGTCCGTAAATCTTAACTACTTGTTTTGAAATAATTATATTCTTAAAGAATATCATCTGCTGCATATATGCACACCATTTGGTTGCATTTAGATAAGTAATTTTTGTAGGATGATGTAATTACGTTTTTAAACCATAGTGGGGTAACCGTGCGCGAAAATGCGCACGGTTACCCACTAATCAATTAAATATGAAGCAATATTGTTATCGTTTTTGGGTACTAAAATCCGTCTTTTATTTTCAGATGCCACGAAATTACGTTCGAAAGACTGAAATCCATCAATATAGTGATGAATTGCTGGAGACTGCACTGAATGCAATTAGAAACGATGGGAGGAAAATACGAGAAGTTGGGAGGTCTTTTGGTATTCCTGAATCAACACTCAGAAAAAAGCTTTCTCTAAATCAACTAAAAATCCCCCATCTCGGTAGAAAGGCGATTTTTACAGCAGAAGTGGAAGCTGAATTAACCCACTATATTCTGACACTCGCAAAATTGTTTTACGGCGTAACGCCCCGACAACTGAGGCAGTTAGCGTTTAATTATGCTCAACAGAAAAATATTCCAAATAATTTCAATAAACAAACTCAGTTAGCAGGCAAAGATTGGTTGTATGGGTTTCTCAAGCGAAATCCTGAAATATCATTGAGACAGCCTGAGGGGACTAGTCTTAATCGAATTGCTGCATTTAATGCGGACGAGTTAAAACTTTTTTATTCAAATCTCGAGAAAGTTTTACAAAAATTTAAATTTGAAGCAAACAGGATATATAATATGGACGAGACGGGTGTAACCACTGTACAGAAGAAGTGCCCGAAGGTTTATGGACGTAAGGGTGTAAAAAAAGTAGGAGCTGCTATTTCAGGTGAAAGAGGGAGGACCATTACAGCCGTATTTTGCATGAGTGCCACAGGAAATTATATCGCGCCCATGCTGATATATCCCAGAAAGAGAATGGCTCCTGCGCTGCAGAAAAATGGGCCAACTGGTGCTAACTATAAATGTTCAAAAAATGGATGGATGAATTCTGAACTTTTTCTTGATTGGTTAATGCACTTCGAAAAACAGGCAAATCCCACTTTAAATGACCCGATTCTCCTTATCCTTGACAACCATTCAAGCCATATATCCATAGAGGCATACGATTTCTGTAAGTCAAATCATATTCATATGGTGTCCCTTCCGCCACATACTTCCCATCACCTTCAACCCCTTGACCTATCCTTCTTTGGTCCTTTAAAAAATGCGCTATACAGGGAGTATGATATTTATTTAACTACAACAGGCCATGAAAAGATCACTGAATATGACGTAGCTGAGCTGTTAAATAAAGCGTTCGTAAAAGTCGCATCGATGGAGAAAGCAGTTTCGGGATTTCGTTCTGCTGGAATAAGGCCATTTGACCCTAACAAATTCAACGAAGATGATTTCGCTCCGGCCAACGAAATGAGACAGTTTGTAGTAGAAGGTTCTCCCGAACGTAGCGCTAATTTATTAACACTTGCATCTCAGCCAAATCTACAAAAAATTCCTAATCCGGCAACACCCGAACCTAGTGAAAATTCAGACGGTGAAGATAGACAGACAGCTCATATGCCAAAACAACAGCAGCAGGATCTACCTATTCAAGGTCATCTACCATGTACATCTACCGCTGAACAAGATCATCTACCATCTACATCTAAGTCTGGACACAACCATCTACCATCGACATCTACATTAAATAATTCATTCTTCCAATTTGCACCTATTCCAAGGAGAAAAGAAAAAGGAAGAGTAAAAACAGTGTCTCGTTCGAAACAACACTCTGAAATATTGACTAGCACACCCCTAAAAGAACGATTAGAACAAGCTCAAGCAAAGAAAAGGGAAAAAGACGTGAAAAAAAACATGAAATTAAAAAGTGTCAAAACATTAGGAAAGAACAATATTAAGAAAGATAATAAGAAAATGAAGAGGGCTCCAACACCTGAACTTGATGCACAAGAACGTGACGAGGAAGATGAAATCGAGAATGCTTATTTCTCGATCCCACCTCACTCCTTCTACGGAACCACTACAAGAAAAATAACGGCAAAAGAGAATGTTGCAAAAAAAGTAAAAAAACGCATATGTCAGTCTCCGGAAATTAAAAGAGGGAGAAATAAGAAACCAGCAACGCCTGAATCATCAGAGGTATCTGACATAGACGATAGTGACATTTGTGACGATGATGAAGTAGACGATATCAACCCCAACTATGTTCCATTTGATGCAGAACCTGACGTGCGGACTGAATTATGTGGCATATGTGGAGAACATGGAAAAAGCGAACTATGGTACCGGTGTGTTGCATGTGGCTTATGGAACCACGCGGCATGTACCGGTAAAGATGCCCCCGAACAATACATTTGCGACTTTTGTCAAGGTTAAACAGATACCTACTTAACATTATAGGTATATAATCACTCGTACAATAAATATTTGTTCTTGCATGTGAATTTGTTTTTATACCACTGTATTATTAGGTACTTGTATATTCCAAACTACTGCGCACTGTTCCCCACCCTGTGCGCACAGTTACCCCATGGGGTGGGGAACGGTGCGCAAATGCAATTTTTTACTTTTTCTAATTATATATGATTATGTTAAGAAATTCAATATCTATTATAGTGCATACTGAAAGTAGAATAATTAGGGTATCAGATAACGTTTTTATTTTATTTTTTATGTTTAAGAGTTGACCACCACAACGATTCTCGCTTAGGTGCGCACCATTCCCCCACCTTCCCCTAGGTTCTCCTTTTTGCACTTTTAAAAGTACCTATTATAAATATTCCTATACTTGTAGATTTTTGTTAAATATTGATGAATATATTAATTTTTTTAGACGAATTGTTTCCTGGTGTGCTTTTCTGTCGATAAAAATTTGGCCTCATACGATAACGTGATTTTAAAATGGGTACCGGAAGTTAGGCATTTCAGCCCAAATGTCCCAATCCTTCTAGTAGGTAAGTATCATTTATAGGTAATGAAAATACGTATTTATTGCAAAATTTGTTTTTGTTATTAACTGATTAGTCACGGCATGATTTAAAACAGATAATGAAGTATTAAAATTGCGATTTTTTCGAGTGACTGTTATAATATAGTGAATTATTGCATCTGAATAATTGCTTTTCGCAGAAATATTGAAAGTAGATTGTTATGCTAGTTTTCATAAACAATCAATTCGTTTTCTTTAATTATAACTTATACGGATTACGGTAAAAATATAAAAAAATCCTACTTGGTTAGTTTTTTTGTATATTTTTATTTTTGTTGTGTTTCATATATGCCATACTATGCATTAAAATAAGATTCAACAAGTAAAATAAATAAAAAAATCACGTTTATTAGGGTAAAGTGTGCAAATCGCGGTCACCTAAGAAGAAAATTTAGTATAAAAAAAATAAACTCTGTGAATCAAATTTAAGGCGTCAACCGGTCATTTGGGGTTTTAACTTATTGCAAGACACATTCAATTTAAAAAATCTAAAAATAAATTTTTTTAAAATAAAAAAGACAAAAAATAAAAAAGTATCTCTGACCGGTATTGTCACCATATATGGATAATAACGGTCATGAGTGTGGGTAATGTAATGAAATGCAAAACCTTTATAAACTAGGTTTTAATATACAAGAAATTAGCATTGTTTTGTTTGAATGAATAACATGACAATTACATATGACATTAACTAAAACTAAGATGACAAATGACAAACACAGTTCACAGACCACAGGACATTCACCCCAACTTTATTTTTGAACAAAGTCTTTAAGGTAAGCAGGAGTGTTTCTTTCCCTGGTACCTCTTCTAATAAGACTGTGTTTATTTTCTTCCTCTAAAACACTTTCAATATGACCTTGATCTTCCAGAATGTTAACAGGAGAAATATTTGGATTTTCCTCACATATACTCAATCTAGGGCTTGGTGGATCTTTGATAAACTGTTCATTAGAAACCGCAGATTCCGATCCACTAACACAGTCCAGAGATGCATCTCCTCGTGGTGCAAGTTGTCTTAAGGCTACTGTTGTTTCTTTACCATCTTCACGTCTAACAACAGCATAGTTTGGATTTGCTTCAATTAGCTGTACTTCTTCAACGAGGGGTTCATATTTGGACTGCCTCACATTTTTTTTCATAAATACTTTTCCGGGGGTTATCAACCATGAAGGAAGTGCAGCTCCATTTATAGCTTTTCTGGAATGATGAAACATTCGCTCATGAGGGGTACTGTTTGTAGATGTACACAAAAGAGAACGAATTGAATGAAGAGCTATCTCAACTACTTCTTCCCACTGTTCAGTTTTTAAATGTTTAGATTTTAATGCAAGAGAAATAGTTTTCCATATAATTCCATTATATCTTTCTGTCTGGCCATTTCCTTCAGGATTGTAAGATGTTGTTCGGCTTGTTGGTATTCCTTGTGAATGGAGAAATGTTTTGACTTCTTGAGACATAAATGCCCCCCCTTGGTCTGAATGGATATAACTAGGCATTCCAAATAAAGAGAATAAGTTTGTAAGACACTTCACAACAGTTTTCGCTGAAACATCTTGACATGGATATACAAAGGGGAATCGAGAATATTCATCAACAATTGTTAGGATATATTTGTTATGAGATCTAGATGGAAGCGGTCCTTTAAAATCCAGAGACAATCTTTCAAAAGGCGAAGTAGCTTTAATTAATCTCCCTTGAGTTTTCAAAAACTTTGGTTTTATTTCTGCACAGATAGGACAGCGATTGGTCATTTCACGGACTTCATCAATAGTATATGGTAAGTTGCGTGTCTTTATCCAATGGACCATTCTGGTGATTCCTGGATGACACAAGGATTGATGTAGTTCAAATAGACTTGGTCGAGGATTTATTGAACAGCTCACTCGTGAGAAAGTATCTGGCACTACATTCTCAACTCCTGGTCGGTACTGAATATCGAAACTGTAGCATGATAATTCAAGGCGCCATCTGATAATCTTCTCATTTTTTATCTTACTAGTGTGGCGCATATTGAACATAAAAGAGACAGACTTTTGATCAGTTATAAGTCGAAAATGTTTACCTATCAAGAAATGTCTCCATTTTCTAAGAGCTTCCACTATTGCATAAGCCTCTTTTTCCACTGATGAATGATTTCTTTCACTTTTTGATAAGGTTCTTGAAAAGAAAGCAACAGGTCTTCCTCCTTGGCTAAGAGAAGCAGCAATACAAAAATCTGAAGCATCAGATTCAACGATAAAAGGAATCTTGTCATCAATTGTAGTAACAGCTGAAGAAATAATTTCAGATTTAAGAATTTGGAAAGCTTCAGCTGCTTGTTCTGTTAAAGGAAAAGTATTGCATGTGACTAGTTTTTGTATCTTTTCTGAAAATTGTGGGATAAATTTGGAATAATGTGCAAACATTCCGACAGCTCTCTTTAGTGATTGTGAATCGTTTGGTAAGGGTAACTTCTTTAATGGTTCAAGTCTTTCAGGATCAGGTTTTAAGGTCTGATTTTCTATTTGATAACCCAAAAGTTTGATTGAATTTAGTGTATAAGAACTTTTATTTTGATTTATTGTTAGATTGTATTTCTTCGCTACTTCCATAAATTTATTAAGATTTTCATTATGTTGTTGTTGATTTAATCCACAAACCGTAATGTCATCAAGATATGCATACACACCTTTTAAATGTTCGGATTTAATAATACCATCGATAACCCTTTGAAAACAAGCCACTCCGTTGGTTACCCCAAAAGGAATCCGGCAAAATTGGTATAGTTGGCCGTTGGCTTCAAAAGCAGTGTATATTTTCTCTTCATTTTTAATTGGAATTTGATGGTATGCATTTTTAAGATCAATAGTACTGAAGACAGAATATCTTGCTACTTTTCTAACAATATCTTCAACATCTGGGAGAGGATAGGCATCTAAGTAAGTAAATTTATTAATTGTTTGTGAATAATCTACCACCATTCGCTTTTTGTGTGTTTCACTTTTTGTAATAAGTACTTGTGCACGCCAAGGAGAGTTGCTTTCTTCTATGATTCCATTCGATAGCAGATACTGTATCTCGTCAGATATGAATTTTCTATCTTCAGTTGAAAATTTTCTTGATTTAGTTGCCCTCGGTTTGCAATCATTTGATAGATTGGAGAATAATTTGGGTGGCTCTATATTTAAGTATGCCAAACTACAAATGTTATCTATATGATCAATAACTAAAGGCATTTTTGAGCCAGCAAAAGTGATTTCTAGAGAAGAATGTTGTTTAAGCAAGTCATGACCTATAACTACATCAGCACATAAATCTTGAATTATTGATAATTTGACATTTTTATATGAATGTTCGTTTATTTCTAAATTAACAAAGCAGTGTCCTGAGATAGTCGTTCTGAGTGCTGTTGAAGCCATTATTATGCTTGCATGACTTCTAAATGTTTTCACGTTTATAGACAATGCATAATTCTTACTGATATATGACTCAGAACTACCTGTGTCTATTAAACTTTCAGCTGTATTTCCATTCACCTTTATCTCAGTAACACTTTTAGATAAGCATTGAGGGGCAGCAGCAAGATTTCTAACATTCGAACTAGATGTAGTAGTAGCTAAAACAGCAGCTGATACTGAATTGGGCATCTGAAGCCTACATACCTTGGAAAAATGTCCAACTTTCGAGCATTTCTTACAAACTTTGTCTCTAGCAGGGCATAGGCTACGAGGATGCCTTTCAGTTGATCCACAAAAGTAACATTTCCAACTTTTCACAGCAGCAGAAGTATAATTAGTGTGCTCTCTGGTTTCAGAAGAAATTGCATTAATAATTTGTACAGGAGTTGTATAAGCCTCAGAGTGTTTTGAAGCTGACTCCAGAGACTGGGCTTTTACTATGGCATCTTGCAGAGTAATAGTGTTGTTTTCTAGTAAACGTTGTCTTATGTCATTAGAAAGAATGCCATTAATAAAAGAGTCTCTTATATAATCTTCTCTATTTTGGTCTGCAGAAACGGCTAGAAAATTACAGTCTTTGGAAAGCACTTTAAGATGTTGAACGTATTGACCTATATTTTCACCAGTTTGTTGTTTTTTTGTCATTAGGATATGTCTGGCAAAAATTTCATTTTTGGGTTTAACAAAAGCTGCTTCAAGAATACTTTTGGCTTCAGAATACTTTCTACAATCAGAGATGAGTTCATAGATATTGTTGCTCACGTAATTTACCAGTAGTTTGAATTTCTCCTCCTCTGAAACATCAATCACAGAGGAAATAAAGTTTTCAAAGGTAGCTTTCCAATGCATCCATTCTTGAGACGATCTAGGAGAGTTAGGATCAGCATCGAATCTGTCTGGTCGTAGTAGCTTATCCATATTTGATATTTCTTGTATATTAAATTGTAATGAAATGCAAAACCTTTATAAACTAGGTTTTAATATACAAGAAATTAGCATTGTTTTGTTTGAATGAATAACATGACAATTACATATGACATTAACTAAAACTAAGATGACAAATGACAAACACAGTTCACAGACCACAGGACAGGTAATGCCAGTCAATTTGTTTGTGTTATTATTAAAATAAAAATCAATATCTATTTAACAAGTTTTTGTTATAAAACGATTAGAGAATGTGCCTTAATGGGTAATAATTTAAGTAAATCAGTAAGAAAGGTGAAAACAATATTTTTTTATTACAAAACAAAACAAATAACAAAAATATGTGTTGACATGATGTAATGTAAAAATGGTTGATATGACAGTCATCGCAGGTATAACCCTCTGCAGAATCCCATCCACTGCACTCTGAATGGGCCCAACTTGAGCAAAGGGTACATCTAAACCACATTTAATTGTTTTTTGCCAAACTCCCTGCAAATCAGGCATCTATCTTACCTGCATCGTCACTGTTATCACAGGGTATATCGATATCCGATTCCGAAGAACTAGAATCAAACACCTTTCTCTTGTAATAAGGTTTCTTAGTTTTCTCTTAAGGTCTCTGATATTTTTGGGTATTAAGTCAGTTTTTCCTTTTTCTTGAATTTTCTTTACCTTTTCCTGTTGTTTCTGTTCCTTTTCTTCTAACTCTTGTTTAAAAGGCGTAGACGTCAGGATTTTGGTATGCTGATTTTTTCTGGTTATACTCTTTCTTACAGCGGAATTTGTAATAGACGTAAGTTCTTTAAATGATGTAAAACTTGTGGAAGGTCCCGGAATAGGATCCAATGTTGTTGTTTCAACCTGATTTTTATTTATAGGTGGCAAAGTTTGAAATGGGTTTGTATTGTAAACTTCGGCTGGTATGGCTTCATTGTTATCTTTTTAACAAGCGATTGGTTTTGTAATGTTGACGCAGCTAAGAAATCTTGATCTGTAAATACTTTTGGGTTGAGTGGAAAAATATCAGTGCTAAAGCCAGATTCTCTTTTACTTAGGGTCGCTTTATGGAATATGCTTTATTAAACAGACCAGCAACATCATATGGCGTGATATTTCGCATAAAATGTGTGTTCATGAACAAATTACATTCATTTCGAGATTCAGCTTTAACAGGCACATAAAAAACAATATCCAAAAGTTGGATCTTGTGAGATGAATGAGGCGGAATTGAAAGCATAGAAATATTATTTGCTTTGCAATATTCATAAACTTTTATTGATATGTGGCTGGAATGGTTATCTGTAATTAGAAGAACTGGTGAAGTTTCACTGGGTTTTGAATACCTATTTGTGGAAGTGTTGCAACCATTCATAAAATAAACCTTCATCCATCCAACCATTATTTGAACATTTATATAATACCTCCGAAGGTCCATCTTTTTCTAAAAGAGGTGTCAGTCGCTTTCGCGGAAAAATAAACATGGGTGGAATGTATTTCCCAGCGGCATTCATGGCACACATAAATGTGATGTTTCTACCCTTCTCTCCACTGGCTGCAAAGCCCACCCTTTTCTGGCCTTTGGTAGCTAAAATTTTTCCAGGATCCTGAACTGTATTCCTGTCTCATCGGCATTGTGTATTTGTGTTGGACTAAATTGATATGTTGTCATTAAACTTTCTAATAGCTTAAAAAACAGCCCAGTTCTTCTTTATTAAAAGCTGTTAATCTGTTTATACTCGTGTCTTCTGCTTTGCGTATGGATACTGTTAGATTTCTGCGAAGAAAACTTTGTAACCACTCGACACCAGCTAATCCTAAGCAGATGTTAAAATTATGTTTAATACTGTTTCTTTCAGCAAAGCTAATTTTCTCAGTTCTTTTGCTGTTACGCAAAAGAAAAATACTGATTTTCTACCTGATGACGCACCTTGAAGATTTTTATTTTTTAATTCTTTCTTGCAATATCGAAAAAGGAATGGCATATGCTTTTGCTGTTTTTTTGCATAGTCATTTCACAGAAAGAATAGTCCAAGGAAACTTGGAAACAGAACAAGAGGAAGCCCCATAAAAGATGGGTAGACGACATAGATCTTAAAACCATGAACCTCAGGTAGGGGCGAAGAAAAGTGTCCGACAGTGCGGAATGGAAGAACATTGTTAAGCAGGTCAAGACACAAAAGGTTATAGCGCTATTAGAAAAAGATTGTGCCATATATGACCCACTATGCGGTAAGGGGTTAAAAAAATGGAAAAAAGATTGTTTAAAAACTTGTTTCCTCTTGTTATTTTAGTTTTTATTATAAAACAAATCACAAATGATATAATTAACTATTTATTAGACTTTTTGGATCTCAACGCATGAGAAGCTGACTTAAAATTCCAAATTTTTATTTATACTTTGTTTGAAATGTCAGCTGTCACTCGCAAATATGTCGTAAACAATGCCAACACACACTGTACCCATCCTTTTATATCATATCTTTCCTTCTAAAGTCTTTTTTTTTCTAGCAACAAAAAAAGACTTACGGACTGATCCCAGCTTGGCTTGCTACACGCCCGAAGAAGGCAAAAAGCTGAAACGAAGGGTTAAAGCGCAGGGATACATGGAATGCTCTGCTTTGATGAACGAAGGGTTGGAGGAAGTCTTCGTCGAAGCTATACGGGTGTACAAGAAGAGCAAAAACAAAAAACCAGTTACTAGACACTGTACTGTATTATAATTTTCTTCCAAATAAGGACTGTTTAAATATATGTCATTTAAAATTGTGTATTTTACAATAATTGCACGTTTTGTTAATGCTGCCTTTTTTTAAATTAAACTAAGTGTATATTACCGATGATGTTCAATTATATTGCCGAAACTTAGGATATTAACGCCTTGAAAAATATTTAGACTGATATTAAATGTTAAAAGACTATAAAAATTGTTTTGTTATGTTTTTTTGGACTCCACTCTTCTTCTAGCAGTTCTGAGGAACCTCAACACGAGTTCACTGGAAAATATCTACTAAAAATATGGAAAAAATAAAGAAATTAATCTTAAAACTACTAAAGGGTGATCAGTTTCAGAGTTATATTTAATTGAAAATATAAGGCAGCATAAACAGAATGTGCCGATGCAATCAACTAAACAAATTCTCCAAAAAAACTTCAATATATTTGTCTACGTGTTTTTTGGTTTGGTATTTTTTAAATTTCAAATGGCATATTTGTTTCTATTGTTTATATTCTCAAGGAAAAGGCTTAATTGATATTTTCACACAGTATTTCAGAACTGGATGTACATTTATATTCTTTAAATCGTATTAAATAAATAATTTATTACAATGCTGCATTTTTATTTTTCTATTGAGAGGTTTGAGATAATATTCTGTATCAAGTGGTTTTATGGATTTCAACGTTGTTGTCGAATCAGATTATACGAAATTACGTAAATGCATACACTTTATTTGGGAATGAGAGAGACTATTTACTGATAAAAGTGTTGAAATAAAATATAAAAAATTGTCATCATGTCTACAAAATGAGTTTACAAATACTGTAAAAACATTAGAGCAAGAAAAACAAAAAATCTTAATGAAACAATGTTGGCCAAAGATCTCAAATGAATATTTAACAAGATCAACATCAATAATAAATCAATAATGCAATACGGGCTTAACAGGGAGCAATAACTTAATATAAAACAACTGACTGAAAGAAATTGTTTATTCTATAGATTTTAATAACTCTTCTAGGCACTTCTCCCTCATATCGTTGATTGTTTCTTCTCTGTCTGGCATTTCTTGCATTTGTAGATTATTCGTTGGAGAACTGTTTAGATATAAAGACTCAACTTCAGGAAGTAGCGCCATGGTTGGGGAAAATATTGCTTTTTCTGGAACTGTGTACATCAGTTTCTCGAATGCATCTGCAAAAAAAAACACAAAAACAACGAGGATTGCGTTAGTAGTGGTCCGTAAAATATTATTATGCAACCTTAATTTGGCTACATATTGATATCAAGAATTAAGGATCAAGGAACTGGAAGTATAATATTAATATGAACTATCCGATGCTGAAAGATGTAAGGAATTACACGAAGAAGAAAGAGAACAATACAGGAGTTGTGAACAATACAGTATGTGAATTAAGGGTTCAAAATTAGAGGCAAATTGTGATATTCTTACCTTGTGTATCACCGGTCTTCTGCACAGTTCTTTCTTTATTATCAATAATATTGCTCCCTAAATCTGCAGTATTATAAGTAATCTCTATCCGTTCATTATCGTTCAATAATATTGATTTCTTCTGCACGGAAGATTCACTACTCACTACAGTTTCCATCCTGTGTGCTTCTGGTTCCTGTATTACTACATTTATATTACCAGTATCCAAGTCGACGTTCATTACACACTTAGGGCTTGACTGTGAGGTAGAAGAGGTTTGTTGGTCTGTAGCGTCAATAACAACGGAAGAATTCAAGAGGCATTTATGAGATTTTTGACTGACTTTATACCTGAAGCTTTTATCACATGTGGGGCATTTGTAAGGCATCACTCCAGTGTGTATTCTCCTGTGAACTAAATAAGACACTCTTTGTCTGAAACTTTTGCCTACAAAACAGTCCAAAATAACTCAAATCTCTTCAAAAGATGAGTATTTATCACTTACCACATGTTTCGCATATAAATGGTCTTTCTCCGGAATGTATTCTGGCGTGATTCTGTAATGTTGAGAGTTCTTTGAAGGCCCGTCCACATTCGCTACAAACGTGTGGTTTTTCCGATGAATGGTACAGCATATGCTTGTGGTAGGACTGTTGGAAGGTGAACGATTTGTTGCACAATGTACAACAGTACGGCATCTCTCCTAAAAATGATAAACTCTTGGAATATAAAATAATAAATAGGTTTAGGAATAGTGCTATGCATTAGTAGAAGTAGAAATGTGACGATGTCACATGTAAATGTATGATTTTATGAATGAAGCTTACAAAAAGTGAAAAAGGGTGATCAATTGGAATGTAAAAACTATAGGGGAATAACCCTCCTTAATACAGTATACAAAATATTTTCGATTATTTTATATGGTCGTCTGAGTGCATATTCAGAGTAGCGTCTTGGCGAATATCAAAGTGGTTTTAGGCCTGGTCGATCAACAACAGACCAGATCTTTGTGCTAAGGCAAATATTGGAAAAACCAATGAATTCAATATCGGCACATACCATCTGTTAGTAGATTTTAAATCGGCCTATGATAGTATCCTAAGAAATAAATTGTATGAAGCCATGGATGAATTCCACATCCCCGATAAACTGATAAGATTGGTTAAGGCTACAAGGCATAAGTCGAAATACAGGGCGAACAATCACAGGCATTTGAAACGCATATTGGGCTGCGACAGAAAGATTCGCTGGCGTGTCTCCTTTTCAACATAGCTCTGGAATAGGCAGTCAGGGATGCACAAATAGACAACAGAGGAAACATTTTTAGGACAAATTAGAGGACAAAAAATGGAACGTATGTTTAAAGGGGGTAAGTAAAATTTAAGAAAGTAAAACAAAATTTGTGGTAGAAAATATTGTGCAAAAATTTGGACGTCAATATGCTTTTATCATATTATTGCAAATTCAAAACATAAAAAATAAATTGGCTAACCCCAAAACGTATTATTATGAACTTATCGGAGAGAGAAATGCAAATTTTGATATGTAGTTATCTTCAAATCCTTGTAACTTTAAAAAACATAATCCATCGTGATTTGGATTATGTTTTTTTAACTGAATATGAGTTAATAAATATAGATAATTATTTTTACTCACCGGTATGCAATCTTTTGTGTTTTTTCAAAAAATATTTAGTAGTGAACAACTTGGAGCACACATCACATTCCCATTGTTTATTGTCTTGAAACTTTTGAGCACTCTTTTCACTAACCACCTCTATAAATTCGTCACCATCGGCATTTTCCGTCTTCTTCGTAAATTGTTCAGTTGGCTCAGCAGATTCTTTGCGGATGAAACCGTAATGAGCGACCCTTAAATGCACCATCAAGCTACCCCTCATCTTAAACTTCTTGCTGCACAAGTGACAATGATAGCTGTACGTACCAGTTTTTACATCAGGAGGAGTTTGATGTAATAGTTTTTGGTGAATATCCAGGATATGTTGGTCCGTGAACGAGAAATTACATATGTCACAATGTACTGGTTCTTCTGGAACGTTGTTTGACTCAGTTTCGATTTTGGTATCAATCTCCTGCTGCAAAACTTCCTCTATATCAGGCCGAGACTGCGTGTGGTTGCTGATATGACTAAACAGGTGTATAGTAAGTTTATCTAGCCCTAAAAGGGTTTCCGCACATACCGGACAAGATACTAAATTCGTAGCCGCTCTCACTAAAGTAGTTCTTAGGGCATCCACGTCGTCAAAATGAGGCTTACAACACACTGGACACGGCAACAATTTGATTTCCATTTTTTTAATAACTAAACTAGTTACAAAAACAAAATTCGACTGAAATTATTGAAGGTAGCGATCTATTTTTGATCTTGATTATTTACGAATCTCTTGCGATGGGAGCACGGGGATTATTTTTAGACATTTGCTGAGTCAGGGACGTATCAGACCAGAGAAATTTGGGCTGTACTACATGTTAGTTTAAAATAGTCACTTTCTAAGTGATTTTCACTAATTTTTTACAGCAGACTAATAAAATATGGCGAAATATTTTACGTAAGCTGTACAAAAAGTATATTACCGCAAATATAAAATAAATAGAAAATTATATTATTGAAATATGATGTCAAAAAGTATTATTTTATTTTTTAATTAATATGTAATAATTTAAAGCATTTACTTTCTGTATTTTTTTAGATATGCCTTGAAAACGAGTACTAAAAACCAATAGAAAACAAATAGACGAAAATGCCATTAAACAAGCAATTATAGACTGTTTTACCGGAACTTCTTCAGAAAGGGAGGCTGACCGAATTCATGGAATAAAGAGGTCAACACTAAAAAGTAGGGTGAAAAAGATATTACGGAAGAAAACCAGAGAAGAGTATTTGCGGCAGAATATGTAAAATCCGGATGATCTGGGAATGAAAGTGACGCTGACAAAAATTCACCAGAATTTTCAAGCAAATATACAAATAGGCAGGTATTTACGGCAGAGCACGAAGCTAAATTGGAAGCATATATCAAGAGATGCTCTGACCTTAACTACGGACTAACTTATACTCACATCCAAAAATTAGCTTATGATTACGCCTCCCAATTGCCTAGTTGCAAAATTTCGCAAGAGTGGCACCAAGAAAAAAAGGTAAAAGATGGATGGCTACGAGGATTTATTAAACGTCACCCAACGCTTTCCTTAAGGAAACCAGAAAGCACCGGTCTAAGCAGAAGCATCGCTTTTAATAAACATAAGGTTGACCAATTTTTTGCAAATCTTCAAAAAGTGTTGGAGCGCTACAAATTTCGCCCAGAAAGAATTTATAATCTTGATGAGACCGAAGTTATAACTGTCATGAAACAAGTGAAAATTGTCTCCCTCAAAGGCAAAAAACAAGTCTCTAAAGCTGCTTCAGCTTAAAGGGGTGAATTGGTGACATTTGTGGGAATTGTACTTATGGACAAAGCCTACCTCCCGTTTATGTATTCCTAAGGATTACAAATGTGGAAGACCTTATAATTAACGCGCCAGTGTCAAGTTTGGCATTGGGAAACAAATCCGATTGGATGATTGCAGAATTATTTTCTTCTGTTCTTCTATTAAAATATATTAAAGTATACTCGCTGCTCCCTTGAAGATCCCGTATTATTGCTGGTTGATAATCACGAGTCCCATGTTAGTCTTCAAAGCGTAAAATATTGCAAGGAGAGTGGGATTGTTCTATTAAGTTTTGCAATCCATACGACTCACAGAAGATATTGGGATCTATGGGCCAAACAATCAAAAAAACATGGTGGAATATAATGAATAAAATTCTTATTTTGAGAACGATTTCCGAAGTGGAAATTGAAACGTCAATAAACGTATTTTTATCTTTAATTGTGGCTTATTCCCAGTTTAATAATAATTAATTGAAGTCCTTGAAATAGTCAACAAAGCATAAATATGTTTCTATGTTAAACTCTTGAGATTTTTCGATAATTTGGTAAAATTATGACCAATTTTAATAAAAGGAATTAACGCTCCAGCAACAACAGCAATATCTATAAATAAGGCTCCTAGAAATAAATTTACAAAAATTTTACCACCTTATATCACTGTTTCTAAAGCAAATAGAACTCTGGAAAATTACCTAATGTGCAAATAAGTTATAGCCGGAATTAAAAAGTGTCTCAAAGAAAAAGCTAAATATAACCGGCGCGTACAGTGGTGTGCTAATTTAAACAAAAATACTCTAGCTACAGAGTTCTGGACCCAAGCAAAAAGAAAATGTACAGATACTACAAACCTCTAATACAAACATTAATAAATTACACAATTTTTTCTTGTGGCATTTTAAAGTAATTACTATTTAGATGGGAATAAGCCACAATTAAAGATTAAAGTACGTTTATTGACGTTTCACTTTCCACTTCGGAAATCGTTCTCAAAATGATTTTCTGAAAGATTTCCGAAGTATAAATTGAAACTAAACTCCGCCTGGGATACCGTGGGAAATCACAGTGTCACAGCCGGTCCTAAGCCCGGATAAAGGAGGAAGGTTGGGCAATGGGCTAGTCACCCATTACTGTAGAACAAACCCCGACTACGAAACCTATACAAAAGCCTCGGATAGGACGGTCTTATCGACGACGACTCAAGCAAAGAAATATGGACTACTCATTTGGAATATGGAACGTCTTAACCCTAAATAAACCAGGAGCCCAAACATCGCTGCTTAACGAACTTAAAAAATATAAGATACAATTAGCCGCAATACAAGAAACAAAATGGCTAGGCAATGGAATAAAAGACACAAAAACGCACACAATACTCTATAGCGGCAAAGAAAATGGAAAAAAAGAATTTGGAGTGGCTTTCGTAGTAGATAAGAACATCAAAAACAATATCTTAGATTTCGAAGCAATAAATGAGAGATTATGTAGATTGAGGCTAAAAACAAAATTTTTAACCTCACAATCATTAATGCCCATAGTCCAACAGAAGAACACGACATAACAATAAAAGAGGAGTTCTACGATCAATTAGAAGAAATATACGACAATGCCCCAAAAAATGACATCAAGATAATATTGGGTGACATGAACGCCCAAATAGGCAAAGAAGAACAGTTCGCAGGAATAATCGGCAAACACTCACTCCATCAAAACACCAACGAGAACGGGAATTGCTAATTAATTTTGCCAGCAGGAAAAACATGATCGTGAGCTCTACGTTCTTTGCTCATCGGGATGTACACAAAGCAACGTGGATCATGCCAGGTGGAGCGGTTACTAACCAAATTGACCATGTCTTAATAGACAAAAGAGCTGCCACCAACATCCTAGATGTAAAAAGTCGAAGAGGAGCATGCTGTGGATCTGATCACTTGCTGGTACAAGCAAAATATAGATGCAGGATCTCAAGAAACAGAGATAAGAAAGAACAGATAAAAGAGCAGTTGGACATTGATAAACTAAGCCAACAAAACGTTAAACTGAGCTACGAGACAGAAATAACCCAGACACTTACAAACACAGATAACCTAGACATTGAAGAACATTGGAAACAAATGAAGACAAAAGTATTAAATGCAGCAACAAAGACCATCGGTAAAAAGTAAAGAAGCAAAGGGCAGAATGGTTCAACGAAGAGTGTAGACGGGCCATACACGAACGAAATGAAGCTCACAAGAAATATATGGAAAGGCGAACCAGAGAAAGAAGAACATTTTTCGAGGAGCTACGACGCAGGGCGGATAAAATATGTCGAGGAGAAAAAAGAAAATGGGAAAATAATAAGATACAGAAAATGGAACAAAACCTCCAAAGCAACGATCTAAGGGAGGCATATAAATATCTTCGACAACTAAGAGAAGGATACAAACCCCGAACAAGTCTGTGCAGAAACCAAACAGATAAGATAATTAGTGAACCAACGCAAATAAAATCAGTTTGGAAAAGCCATTTCCAAGCTCTGCTAGGAGCACAAGGAAGCTCACGATCTTCGGATTTGCGGCACATCGAGGAAGGAGACGAAGAAATAAGCAGCCCGACTCTTAAAGAAGTCAAACAAGCAATACAGGCGCAAAGAAACAACAAAGCGCCGGGATTTGACGATGTCCCTTCCGAACTGTATAAATTAGGTGGCGAACATCTAACAACGCAGGTGCACGCGCTCATATCTAAGGTATGGAGGGAAGAAAAAATTCCTAGCGATTGGAAAAATGGGATTATCTGCCCAATCTACAAAAAAGGGGACAAACTTAAATGCGAAAATTACCGCGGCATAACCCTCCTATGTTCGGCCTACAAAATTTTTACATCCATCCTGAATAGGCGACTTCAACCATTATGTGAAAATATTATCGGCGAATACCAGACCGGTTTTCGACAAGGCAGGTCGACAATAGATCAGCTTTTTACAGTAAAGCAAATCCTTAATAAAGCTTGGGAACACGATATTGATGTTCACAATATATTTGTCGACTTCAAACAGGCTTATGACTCCATAAATAGAAGCCGGTTATATAACATCATGGAAAGCTTCAATATTCCCTCGAAATATATCCGACTAGTAAAAGCAACGATGGACTCCACAATAGCAACTGTACGCATACAGTACGAATTAACTGACAGCTTCGAAATAGTTCAAGGGCTGAAACAAGGTGATGGACTAGCTCCAACACTGTTCAATCTGGCCCTTGAATATGTCATCAGAAAGCTGAATGTCGGAAGAGCCAATCTCCTAACAAACAAATCTGTCCAGCTCGCCGCATATGCGGATGACATTAACCTCATGTCCCGCAGAGTGGATGATGCAGCAGAAACATATTCGCAGCTGAAAAAAACGGCCAAGGAGATTGGACTTGAAATAAATACACAGAAGACAAAAATACTAACACAGACGCGGACAAAGCGAACAAGAAATCAAATCAAAGTAGAGGATGACATTGAAACAGTGAAGAGTTTTACTTATCTGGGAGTCGAAATGAATACGGAGGGAACAGAAGAGGCCGAAATTCAGAAGAGAATAATGAAGGGAAATAAAGCCTATTTTTCCCTGATTAACATATTCCGCTCCAAGACGGTACATCGAAAATCGAAACTTAAGGTCTATAAAACTATCATCAGACCGATAGTATGCTATGGATGCGAGACATGGGTTTTGACAGAAAGCACTAAACGAAGATTAGAGGTTTTCGAGAGAAAAATCCTAAGGAAGATCTTTGGACCCATCACTCAAAATGGGATGTGGAGATCTAGATATAACCATGAACTCTACCAACTGTTCAAAGAAGCACCTATTGCAGAGTTCGCTAGAGTACAAAGGCTTCGATGGGCTGGTCATGTGGTACGGATGGATGCCGACAGATTGCCGAGAAAGGCCTTGGATGGTAAAATGCAGGGCAGAAGACCAAAGGGAAGACCACGTAATAGATGGGAGAACGAAGTCACAGCAGATGCGCACAACTTATTGAACGTCAGGGCTTGGAGACGAGTGGCGCGGGATCGCCTTTGTTGGAGGCAGAAGTTACAGGAGGCCAAGGCTCAATTTGGGCTGTAGCGCCATTGAAGAAGAAGAAGAAGAAGAAGAAGAAATTGAAACTAACCTTTAATTGTGGTTTATTCCCATTAAAATAGGAATTACTTTAAGATGCAACAAGAAAATAGCTTCAGAACAATATTAAAAAACCGTTAAGGTCGATTCAGACACATCAGTCACGTCTCGTCACAGTCCTGACGCCGAACCGAACAATCCGTCATACAAAATATTCTTTAATAGAAATATGGCGCCAGCATTCACATTCATCAGGCGACGAACAGTTTCCCAGCTGTCAGATAATTATAATAGTTCTGTGACCAAACAGGACCGGTTCGACGCCGGGACTGTGACGGGACTGATGTGTCTGAATCTACCTTTATGGGGCCAGCTTTATTCAAAATTTTAGGAGATTGGAAATTCCTTACGAAAAACTGACACATAGTCAAAATTGCAAATAAAACTTCATACAAATCAACGATTAACGTAACCACAGCAACCAAACTATATGTTTGTTGCCATGGCAACCACTAAATATTAACCTAAATGTTGGACGTTTTGTCATGTTTATTATAAAAGTTTTTGGAAATGTCACTGAATTTGGAAGATGTGCTTAAAAATCTCGGCTGGGCTGATGGATTCCAGATTCCTATCGCCAATGCCGAGAATAAAGCTCTCGAAGAAGAATTAGCCAAGCTCAGCTTGAGAAAACAGAAGGGAAAAACCGGTTTGGAGATTTTAAGTAGTAGATTGGATGCTTTAAATGATCATTTCAAATATGTAACACAGGAAAATGAACAAACTCAGGTGGGTTGTACATGTATATTTTTTTATGTCAAAAATCTGCCACGAAACTTCACTACACTGCACACAAATTCCCATGTTTAACATTTCAGTAGACGCAGTTTAATTTTGTGTATTAGTAATTACGATTTAAATGGGGATTAGTCACAATTAAAGGTTAAAGTTGGTTCATTGATGTTTATATTTCCACTTCGAAAATCGTTCTCAAAATACAAACATTAATTTCTCAAATAGAACTCTCGTCTATTTACTTTTATTGTTCCCAAGAGAGTTAAACCATTTTCCTTCAATCTTATACCAAGATCAATGCTGGTGTATCACTTGTCGGTGGTAACATTTCTCTTAGATCCGTAGAGATGTTGACAGGACCGTGCTGCCACTGCCTTGTCTAGATAGTATGGAATGGACCACCCACTTGGTTTTTGCCAACTTATACTTCCATGTTACTGGTATAAAATAACTTCGCATCATATCATCAGTTCGCATGTACTTTAGTCAATTTCTGAATCTCGTGATGTTCTTTTCAGCCGGAAAACCTCTATACCAGTGCCGTCAGTTTTCCACAAATCTATTGTATTAAGGTGATTTGCCTTTCTTATATGATCTTCTCCCGATTCCTCTTCATTATACTCATCACCCGTGAAAACTTCTTCAAAAAGTGCTAACAATATTTTTTGCTCTTTTTCATAATCCATCATCATCATCAATCAGCCCTGAGTTGTCCATTGTTGAACATAGGACTCCTCTAGACTTTTCCATCTGCTTCTGTTCTGCGCCTCTGCTATCCAATTGGTCACGATTCTTTTGAGGTCGTCGGTCCATCGCGTTGGGGGTTTTCCTCGGCTTCGCTTATCAGCCCTTGGTCGCCACTCAAGCAATTTTTTTGTTCAACTATCGTCTTTCATTCTTGCAACATGTCTTGCCCACCTCCATTTTTGCCTTTTAATATGTTCGATAATGTCTTCACTCCGGTTCGTCTACGAACTTCCTCGTTTCTTATTCTATTTCTCAAGTTTATTCCAAGCATCGATCTCTCCATCTTTCGTTGTGTCCTTCTCAATTTTTCGGCTGATGGTTTTGTGAGAGTTAAGGTTTCTGCTCCTTATGTGAGGACTGGTAGAACGCACTGGTTAAAAGCTTTTCTTTTTTAAATGGATCGGTATATTTGTTTTAAATACGTCTCTCATTTTTCCGAATGCAGCCCAACCCAGACTTATTCTTCTGAGTAGCTCTCATGTTTGGTTATCTCGCGTTAACCTTATTTCGTGACCCAAATACACATATTTTTCCACAAGTTCTATGAGCGACTTTTCGATTTCTATTAGCTCATTGGGACGAGATTGGTCATCATTTTTGTTTTTCCATAGTTTATTTTTAAACCGACTTTCTGGGTTACTGGCTGTAGTTGTTGTAGCATAACTCTGGCTTCTCCTAAGTTGTCTGTTATGAGAACAATATCATCGGCATATCTGAGATGATTGAATATCTTTCCATCGATGCTAATACCCTTTGATTCCCACTCTAGCCGTTTAAATGCGTACTCCATAACTGTTATAAATAGTTTTGGCGACAATTATTATTTCGAATAATATTTGCATACCTGTGATCTATTCTTTTAAGATAGCAACTGTTTCGACTATGTCAAATGCTTTGTGGAAGTCGACAAAGATAAGAGCAAGGGGTCTTTTATATTCGATAGCCTTTTCAACTAGAGTTTTAAGGCATTGCAAATGGTCGTTTGTTCCGTGTCCCGCTCGAAATCCTGCCTGTTCTTCTGATTGATAGAAATCGAGTTTTGCTTCTTATCTGTTTGTCAGTATTCGAGTAAAGAGCTTGTATAGGTGGTTAAGCAAACTAATTGGCCTTTAGTTTTCGAGATCTGATTTATCCCCTTTTTTGTGGAGGAGGATTGTAACCGAATTCTTCCATTTACTGAATGTTTTCACTATGCAGACATAGATTAAAAAGTGTTTGCATAAACAACTATAAAACAACTACTTACAAGTCACACACAGTCCACTGCACAGGTTTTACAAACTACAAACTTACAGTTCGGGCATCAACACTAGAGTCGATAAATGTACCAATCAAAAGAAGGTACAGAGCCGGAGAAACTTGAAAGCTTCCGATTGTCTTTAGAATTGACCGTCATTGACTCCCACCGGTCTACTAGACAAGTTGAGTCTATTGAAAAGTTAAAACATCTTTATAGAAAATTAACTATCCCTTAGCTCATGATTTTTTTTATTTGGCTATATTTATCTATAAGCCCCGTATTTTTTATTTCAGAAACTTATCACGGCTCACAAGCAACAACTCGACGCTCTCGAAGATGCTTACCACACCGCGAAAGCCGAAAACCAAAACACCCTTCAAGCAATCAAAACCGGCGGCAACCAACTCAAAGAAGCCGAAGACCTACAAACGCACCGAAAGAGCGACCTCGTCAAACAAGTTGCCAAAGCGGACAAGCTCAAAGCCGAAATGGATTGGGACGCCGAGGCTTTGAAAGCCTGGGAAGAGGCGCTGAAAAAGAGGGACGAAGACATAGAGTTATTGAGGAAGTTCTTTCAGGACGATGATAGGAGATTTAATCATCTAGAGGCTAGGCGACAGCATCTGCAGAACGAGCTGGGGATTATGAGGAGAAAAATCGCTAGAATTGCGGCGACGAGCGATAATTGTGAACAAATGATTCAACGATCAGGTAATACGTTAGTATTTTTTAGTTCATATCTTCATCTTGAGACTATCATTTTGCCAGATTCGTCACTTTAAAGTCGGTATCACTTTTTTAGTTTTGTTATTGAGTTTTTCTCTCAATTACCTAAGTATTCTACGGTATTTTCCTTTGGCTACGGCTTCATTCATTCAACTTTTTTTAGGTGGCGGGCTAAAATGACGGTGGGCCTTATTTTTTAATCACATAGAACGAGAAAAATGAACAAAATTAAATTCTGAGAGGGAGCATTTTGTCTATCTTAATGGAGATACCGTTTGTCATCTATTTTCTCAATATGTGCTTTCATCTTATTATTTGTACTTTTGCGACTCAAGAACTCTCATCATATAGACTTAATCACGGTTGTAACATTTACAGGTAAAGTAATGAAGCAACTATCAGTGGAAAGGGACGCGCTCATCACACAATGGAAAGCCTCGGTGAAGATGCTGCAACAGCGAGACAACGACATAATGAAATCGCAAGAACAGCTTTGCCACGTCCAGGAGATGATCGAGAAACAACGGGAAAAGCTGGAGGAAGAGAACACGTTTCTGGAAAACGAGAAGAGGAATAACAGAATATTGGAAATGGAAATTCAGGAGGCGAATAACTCGAATTCGAGGTTGAAGCGAGAGATGGCTGATATGTATCAGGTTCTTTTGACTATGAATACAGATGTAAGTACATTTAAACTCTTATATGATTGCTTTGTAAGATACATACATAAGAATTAATATTTTTCTTTGAAAAATTGAAGAAAATAATGAGTTGTCGTCTCTCAGGAAACCCTTCATGATAAATTTTTACCGATAATAACGCATTTCCATAATATCCAGATCATATCTACTAATTCATCAACAATAAAATTTATATTAACCATTTAGTAAGTTTATACACAATACACTCACCGGCAAAATTAACGGAACACCTTAAAATTGGGACATGTTAGATGTCTCGAATTTCCTAAACCTGTTGGTCCGATTTTAGTGATTTTTTTTAGTATGTTATAGGTATATTATTTAAGAATATCGATGTAATAATATTGTTGCTAGACAGGTCAATGTCATTTTATATACCGGGTGTAACAATCCTACTGTGTTTTTTTTCCTTAAAGTTCGGAACACCCTGTGGAATATTCTAGCATATATAAAATATTGAAATTAAAACTTAATTATAGCCTCAGGCTTTCTTAACATTTTCTTTTTTGATTAATTTGCTTATGTTTGATAATAAAAAAATTAGGTACGTTAACAATTAGCCATGTTTTTCATCAATAAATTCTCATTTTCTGCTTAGTTTAAAAACAAGCATAAAGTAGGCTATGAGACGTTAACAATTTAATGCACACACCGGCAAATTTAAAGGAACCTGTTATTAATGCAATATTTCTTTATATTTGTATTTTATAGACTATATCTACATAGCTTTGAAAGCTACTTGTCACAAGAAAGTCTTAAATGTCAAAATGTCAAATTAATTTGTTTATTTGTATTGTGTTTTACATTTTACAGTCATTCTGTCTGTTCATAACAAGTACAAACTTGTATTTAATTGAGCGCACAATAAGAAAGAGACTTAAAGAAGCCGGTCTCAAGTCATATGTACCAATAAAAGCTCCCAGACTCCAGAGACACCATCGTTTAGCACGACTACAATTTGGTCGAGTACATCAAAATTGGAATGATAACCACTGGAGTCAAATTCTCTTTACGGACGAGAGCCGTTTCTGTGTAAATTACATCGACGGCAGAGAAAGATTGTATTAACGCCAAGGAGAACGAAATGCCCCTTTCAATTTTACTATGACCGTACCTTTTGGTGGAGGTTCAATTATGGTGTGGGGCGGTATATGTTTGGGAGCAATAACAGAGTTAGTGGTGATTGATGGTGGAGCATTAACAGCAGATAAGTATATCAGAGATATTCTCCAAGACCATGTGGTACCTTTTTCACCATATATTGACGAAAATTTTATTTTATAGTGTAAGAGTGTAAGTGTAAGATATTTCTTATTACAAGTGGGTATAACAACGATGAATTGGCCAGCTTGTTCCCCAGACCTAAACCCGATAGAGGATATGTGGGACATGCTAGGCAGAAAACTTAGGGCACGGGTTCCTGCTATTCAAAACAGAGAAGAAGTCACAATTGCAAAAGATTGAGGAATGGGAGAGGCTGCCCAACAACTGAACGATAGCGTTATCAGAAGTATGAGAAGACGAATAACTGCAGTTGTAAGGGCTCGTAGGGGAAACACACGCTATTAAAGCCAAAAAAATGCATAAAAAAATTTAAGTTCAAACTGTACAATAAAGTTAATGCATTTAAAATCCGTATTTTGTTGAGTCTGACATCTTTGTGTTTTATTTCTTCTTAAACAGGTTTTATATTGTACTACCATTGTAATATAAATTCAAAATACTTCACCAAAACATTCGTATTATGATATTATCTAAACAGTATATTATAGACTAGAGAGAAAATACTCAGATTTTATGGTTGTTCCTTTAAATATGCTGGTGAAACTAAGAAGAAAATGAGCATTTATTGATGAAAAACATGGCTAGTTGTTAACGTACCTAACTTTTTTATTATCCAACACAATTGAGCTTTAATTTCAATATTTTATATATGCTAGAATATTCCACAGGGTGTTTCGAACTTTAAGGAAAAAACACAGTATGATTGTTACACCCGGTATAAAATGACGTTGACCTGTCTAGCAACAATATTATTTCATTGATATTCTTAAATAATAAACTTATAACATACTAAAAAAATCACTAAAATCGGACAACAGGTTTAGGAAATAACATGTCCCATTTTTAAGGTGTTCCGTTAATTTTGCCGGTGAGTGTAATTATTGTGAATTGTCAGTTTCAGACAATTTAATCGGTCTTTTCAGAAACAACATGAGTTAATTTTTGGCAATACATATTGACATTTCTTCATAAATCCATTTTTTATTCGTCAACGTACCATTCTAAGTAGAAACGAGATCACTCTCGACTTGCTATATATAAAATAAAAATAAAAAATAATAAAAAAAAGTTTATTGCCCTAATAATACGTACATTTTAAATTTATATATTTCATGTCTTCTTTCCGACGTCCCGCTCTTGCACCGTCTGCTGCAGGGAATTTTTCCTCTAGGATTCCTGGACTTCTGGCTACCTCTCTGCTTGGCTGTTTTCCGGCAACCATCCGGCTAGACCCTGATCAGGTGGTCGATCAATTTATGGGTGTGTCTATACATCCTCTGGATCGTGTTCTTCTCGAAGATGTCCCTGGTCTTTCGGAATCTTCTTGTGGCCTGGTGGAAGAAGTATCTTGTCCTTTTCTCGGCTACCTCCCTCAGTGGTGTGTACTGGAGCCTTTCTTTGATGGTTGCATTCGTGATTCTTTCTTCCTATGGTGTTCCGTCGATGATCCGGTAACACGATGTTTCAGTTGCTTCTAATCTCCTTAATCTAATAATTCCAGACTGGGATTACTTGCCGTAATAAACTGCAACTTAATATAAATACCCAGAGCCATTCCATTCGAAAACCACATGAGCGATCGACTGATGTTGTTTTGGGCGCGGAATTGTCATTTGTAAACAAAACGATCAAGATGTCTGCAATAAACGGCAGGAATAATGGTTCGAATTTAGAAAAAAACTAGAAAAAGAGGTAAAAAAGACAATTATAAGTCAGAAATTATTAAGAAAACGAGGCTGTGTGGGGGAAAATATGAAAATTATAAAGGTATTGTCCCTTCAAGAAAACCAAGAGGAGACTGTCGGTAAGTTTAAAGGTTAAGATAGTTTTAAAACGTAAATTTATTATATATTTTTTGTAGTTGTCGCTTGAAGTGCTTTACAAAAGTTAATGCAGTTGTAAGGGCTTAATTATTTGACAAATTCAGAAGCAAACTTACCAAGAATGCACAAGATTCATACTTACAAGTGCTTATGGGAAAGTGTGAAGTAAAAAAGAGACGACCTCGAAATGAAAATCCAAAGGATAGAAAATTAGTTACTCCGTGACAGCTGATCTTCACTTATTTTCTGACAGCTGTGCCGGTCAAAATCGGAATTATATATAGTGAGATTTCTACTTTCGTTAGTAGATACTGAAAGTTTCAAAACCATAAACCAGTACTTTCCACAACGTGGATATTCCTTTTTGCCGAACGATATAAACTGCGGCAATAAAAAGAGCCATAAAAAACTTTGACCGTGCTTACCACCCAAAAGAACATACAGAAATGATAGTAAATTCTACACGACACAAAAAGTTTCGTGTTATAATGGTGGAAACATGGACTATTTATGAATTTAAAAAGTCGTGGCCTAAACATTACAAAAAACATTTTGTATACCGACTCAACAGGCAGAAAAGAAAAGGATAAAAAAATCACTTTCCAGATTTCAAACTACTACCATTTTTTTTTCAGCTGTGGAATGCAACGGCAGAACTTTCAGTTCCAAAGAAACTTATCCAGCTTGTTAAGTTATGTGTGAATAGCTGTAGATCCAGAGTACGGATAGGTAACAAACTCTCAGAATTTTTCGAAATAAGCAGCGGCCTGAAACAAGGAGATGCGCTGTCACTTCTCCTTTTTAATATCATCCTGGAGAAAGTAGTTAAGAGCAGTGACATTGTAGGAAACACAGTTACCAATGTGAAGGAAACTTTTAATAAATTGGAGATAGAGGCAAACAAAACTGGTTTAAGGGTAAACGAAGAGAAAACCAAATAATGTGCATCAATAGACAAAAGGGACGAGATAGAATATGGCAAAATGTTACAATAGATACAGATATAACTTTGAAAGTGTGAAGAGTTTTAAATATCTCGGAGCAACAATCACTGCAGATAACGATATCGCGGAAGAGATTAAAGGAAGAATTCAGGCAGCAAACACATGTATGTAAAGCATTCACAATACTATTAAATCTAAAAGCCTAACACGAACATCAAAGATCAGAAATTATAAAACAGTGCTCATGTACGGGTGTGAGACGTGGATCCTGACCAAAGAAACTGAAAGAAAACTTGATGTTTTGAGATGAAAATCTTCAGAAGAATCTTTGGGTCTTATCGCGACATTAGTAGCAGCCAATATCGAATGAGAACAAATGCTGAGGTCAAGCAGATGTATAGAGCGAGCACATAGTCCAAGAGATTAAATCCCAACGTCTACCCAGTATACCAACAAAACATATTTTAAATGTGGGCTTAGAGGATCTCTCTGAAATAATAACATCAGAAATTAGAGCCGCCCTAAAGCAAACAAAAAATGGGAAAACACCAGGAGAAGATAAAATTACTTCAGAGATGCTAAAAATGGGAGGCACTGCATTAGACATTCTGGAGACCTCGAGAAGCAAAAAGAAGCGTGGAAAAGCCCAAAAAGATATGCATAGACGATATAATAGCTGTAACTGCAAAGCAGTGGGTGAGAATTGCAAAAGATAGGGAAGCATGGAAGTAATTGGAGGAGGCCTATGTCCAACAATGGATAAATGAAGACTGAAGAAGAAAGCAAGAAAAAGAAGACACAAATGACAGAACTGACAATAGATGGACATAGTTTCGAAAAGTTTGAAACGTTCAAATATTTGGGAGTACTAGTCAAGAGAAAAAATGAAAGTGTAGATATGAAAAGAAGAATTCAAGCGGGAAATACAGCGTTTATATAAATAAAACAAACATTTACATTAACAACAATAGAATAAGAGCAATTGCAAGTTTGTGAGAGGAAGATTATCAAAAAAATACTGGGACCAAAGAGGGAAAACGAAGAGGATGCAAGACAATGGATGAATCAGGAAATACAAGAATAGATGGGCCAAGAAAACATAATTAGATCAATAAAAGCACAAAGAATTAGATAGTATAGACACATAATGAGAAGAGAGAAGAGCAATCCGTTAAGAGTTATATTGAAATGGATACCACCAGGTAAAAGAACCAGAGGCAGACCTAAACTGAGATGGTTACAACAAGTGGAAGAAGACTTAAGGGGTATGGAAATTAGAAATATACAAAGGGCAATCAAAGAGAGAAGAATCTCCTGAGCTTTATCACACTAATCAATCACCCTGTATATTCGAAAATAAAAATTCAATAAAACAAATATTGTTTATTTACAAACAAAATGTCGTTTTTATCGGTATAACAATATTGCACGAAGTGTAAAAGTTGTAAATTGTATAATATTTATCTAATAGTCACACTCTACTATACGAAAAAGTTATTTAACATCTCCAAAACCTTTTGTTTTATTTTTCGTGTTGCCGACACTATTCTTATTTATCATGTACAGTCAATACAGTTATGAAATCTTCTACTGCTAGTATCCAGAGTTCTAGTCAACCTTTCGTGCAACTGTTGGGCAAGAGATGTCGTTCTATCCGCTGGTAAACAAAGGCAGATTTTTCGTTCAGATTCGTCGGTGTCTGAGTTACAAGGAGAACCATTTTTAGAAGCTATATGATACTTACTTTCCTGGTAACTTTTCCTGTAGTAACCCTTTCCGTTTTCTTGGCATTTTCTACACTTTTGACAAAACTTAACTGATCTATCTAAGCTACCACAATTTGCGCTATTTTCTGAGAAATATCCGTCGTACAGGGAGCAAACTGTACAAGTTCTTTTGTGTATTTTTTCTGATCTACAATCACAATCTGCGTACTGAGTTATTAAGTTTCCAGAAGCATCTGCGCTGTTAGTCATACAATAACAGTAAGGTTTATTGGTAGCTTTGAATTCCTCCTCAGATTTTAACACTACGTTAGGGTTATTTCTTAAGATAAGATCATCAGAGACTTTAACATACTTAAATGGAGGTTTTGACTTCTTTTTCTTACCAGGTACATACCTTTGAGTTCGACTAAAACCTACGGAATGACAAACTTTTCTTGGTAATCCTTTATTTTCTGAGAAAGGTTTGCAGATCATCGCTTTGGGATTGATCAAGGTTACGTTAGCGTGGTCGCAATCTGGATCTATTATAGTTTCTTCAACGGTAGTTTTGGAACTCGTTTCTAACTTCGGTGCTATGGTACCCGGGAAGATTTCAGTAGGTTCCATTAGAAGATCTACGTTGACTCCCATAATAGAGTTTCTAAATGACGAAGGGTATAGGAGTTCGTCTAAAGTTGTTCTGAAAGTAGCTAGAACGCGACCTTCATCGCAAGATTTCCACTGGATCAACTCTGCGTAAAACCATTCGTTGTTAAGTCGTCTTTGTAACTCGTTCAGACGTCGATCCTGGTCGAAAATCTTTGAAAATACGAATTTTTCGTAGAAAATAAGCGGGAATGCCGGTCTGCAATTTCTGGTCTGCACTGAGGATCCAAACATATGGATCTGCAACGAAACTTTCCCGTTCGAACACAACCACACTCCAGGACACGATACCCTCTGCATGTCGAGCTCAACTTTAACCAAAAACCCCTTTCGGGACATCTCCCGCGATTCTCACACAGAAATTTCACAATAAAAAACGTAAAAAGCTACACCAAGGCGGAGAAAAACATGGTGCCCGCATCACTTTTGGCAATCGTGTGACAATTTTGAGAGGAATCATAAGGTTGTTTCCTTATATTTAGGTTAACGGAATGTCTTATCACGGCAGTCTTATTGACAAATCGATACTTTTGCATAGCAACGAATAACCATAACTTTCACCGAGTTGTTAGCGCGCAAAGTAGGCCAAAATAATCGAACTTATAGTTCGAGAGCCAGCGGCATACGTAGTCGTACATTTTTTGTCAATTTTCTTCTTGTAGCTACGACTGGTCATTTTGTATGCGCGCAATAGTTTTGTTGTATATACCGAGAACTACTTTGCAGATTTTGCAGTCTTTTATTATTTAATATTTCCTTAGAATAATTTATATGCATTATTAAAAGCACTATTCGTAGGAAGTCACGTAGCTTATACAGAGTGTTTCAAAGAGGTGTGTTATAAATTAAATCACGCATTCGGGGGCAAAAATAAATTGATTGAATCTAACTTACTTTAGTACAAAAGTGCACACAAAAAATTTACAGCCTTTTGAAGTTACAAAAATTGATATTTTGTAATAAAAAGGGTTTTATTGAGTTACGGCCCTTTTCATTAACCTTTAAAAAATTATGTGCAACTAAATAAATGGCTTAAATGAATTAACAAGTACAAAAAACGTCTATAACCTCTATAAATATGATATTACAATAAATGTTCAAAATGGCCCACATCTTCTCCAATACACATTCGGTATCGTTTTAATAAGGAAAACCGAATGCGCTGAAAAATCATATTTTTCTGACGAAATGGATTTGCAGCTTCAATTATTCTAACCCTAAATTGTTGTTAGTCCTCTATTGTTACAGAATACACTTTCTCTTTCATAAACCCCCAAAATCAAAAGTCCATGGGGTTAAGACCTGACTTCTAGGTGGCCAAGAAATAGGTGCCTCACGACCACTTTAAATTCACTGACCAGGATACTGCCTCCAAGGGTATTCTTGGACTTCATTACTGTAATGCGGTGGAGCGTCATCTTGTAGAAACCACATATGTATTTTGCCTTATTGCAATATTCACTTCTTCCAAATACTCTGGTAAATCGTTTGCCAACTGCAAATAATTATCACCATTTAAATTGTTGGGAAGAAATACTGGGCCTATTAGATTGTTATCCACAATTCCTGCCCAAACATTAACTTTGAAGGTCCTTTGGTGATAAGTTGTTATTTTGGCGTGAGGATTTTTAGCAGATTTAATATTCTTTTTTTATTATAATTAATATTATTTTATTTCCAGTATCACACATTGAAGAGGCAAGTTAGCACAGCATCGCATCATCTTAAGAACGAACGCCTCAGAGGGAAACGAATGGACGAGCAATTCACCGAAAAGGAAGCTCTTTGTGCCCAGTACACAGAAGACGTCGGTGCTTTACAAACGAAGCTGGAAGAAGTGAAAAACTCGGCCATGACATCCGAAGAGAGGATCAAGAGCATAGAAAAGATAATAGAACAAGAAGAGAAGCTGTACAATATAAATTTGGCCGATATTGAGAAAACCAACGGAGTGTTGTTCAGGTCGGAGCAGACGTTGAAGGAGCAACGTGAGATTGGTAAGAATTTGGCAATTGAGATAGATACTGGAGCCTGTACGACTGCTCAGTTAAGGAAGCATATCCAGACCGAACGGAAAGAGCTGGAAAGAATCAAGGAGGTTGTATACGAGATGGTAAGTTTGTTCATAATAATATTCATTGAACTAATTCAAACTCTCTAATAAATTTAGTAATTAATTTAAATTAATTAAAAAGTAAAGGCTGCTACGAATCTTAGCGATATTGACAGATGACAGAGACACAAAGTTGTGTAATTTTCTGCACAGTTGTTAATAACAGAAAATTAGTTTATAGGTTATACTATAGGTTTATACTAAAGCATTGATCAAGAAAACAAAACTTTAACGAAACTATTTTAGAAGACTAATTTTGTCTTCGAGGTCACCTCGAGTGCTATCTCTGCTAGGGAGGTTGGCAATCATCATGACTACTTTTATACATCATGACTACAACCATGCCATTCGATTAGACTTTTCAGCTAGACTTAGACTTCTTCCCACATTACTATTTTGACTTGAACTGTAGAAATTTTCCCGTCTTTCAAAAAAAAAAAATATACTCTACTCATTGCCCTCTGGCGGAAAAGAAATTGTGATTATTTTTATCATTTGTACTTACCTTTGCTGTTCTTGTAAAACTCAATACTATTTAAAAAACATTGCAATATCAGCTTGGATATTTAAACTTTATTACTTTTATGAAAAGAATTTTTTTATAATTATGTTTTATTTGCAATCTACATCATTACAGTATTAAGTAAATGTTTTGCAGGTTTTGGGTGTGAAAGAGAATCATCCACTCAAGTCTCACCTTGTTCTATTTTGGTTTAGTTTTGAAGTAGGTCTTGGGCCAAGTTCTATCTAGTCGTTATGTGGCTGGACCATTGTTGAATTCCCTTACTAGTTCATTTTCATGGTGAATGGTACGTTCATTTGTGACTCAGTGGCTCTATGAATTTCTTCTCTGATGAAAGGAATCTTAAGTCGTAGTACTTACGTACCATGGTGGATCCACTATTGATATTAGCACTTTAGACTGGAATCTTTGGATAATATTCAGTGATGTTGGCTTTGTACAGCCCCATCAGTGTAGTCCGTAGGACCAGATAGGTTTGAGTATCGCTTTGTATAGAAGAATTTTGTTTTAAATGGTAAGTTTTGACTTACGTCCAAGGAGCCAATATACTTGCCCGAATTTTAAGTCGAGCTGTCTTCTTTTGTTCTGAATATGTTTTTCTCAAGGAAGACGTTGGTCAAGATGGAGGTCAAGGTTACTGTTCATTTCTTCTGTCCATTCTTACAGGTGGGCATATGTTGTAACGGTTGGTAAATGTTATTTGAAATGATTTTGTTTTATTTACTTTTGTTCTCCATTTCGTATACCAATCACTGAGTACGTTCCGATGATGTTGCAGTTTTTGTGAGGTTTGTATGGGATTCATTTACAGCCAGTATTGCTACGTCGTCAGCAAAGAAAGCGATTGTAGTATTATTAGTCTCTGGTATATCGGCTATGTAGAGTGAGAAAAGCAGCGGCTCTAGAACACTACCCTGCGGAATTCTGGAGTTGATAGGACAGAGGTTGGATTGTTGGTCTTTGAATTTTACAGAGAAATATTTATTTAATATAGTAGATTTAAGTAGAAGGGAATAGTTACTGAATAGTACTATTTTTACTTTGTAAAGCAAACCTCTGTGATAGACTTTATCAATCGCTTGTGACAAGCGATCTTCAAGACTTTTGATATTTCATTTATCATTCGATGGACTTGTTGGGTAGTGGAGTGATTTTCCCGAAAACCAAACTGATGTTTTGGAAGTAATGTTAGGAATTCATGATCTTTATGTAGCAGCAATCTTTCAAAAACTTCAGTTACGGTTGGGAGTAGGTTGATGTATGTATTTATTTTATTTTTTAAACATAAATTCTTTTGTAGGAATTTAGAATTGACGAATGTGAAAAGAAGCTGTACGAGCTATCAGAAGTCAAGTATGTCGAAGTGTCAGAAGAGAAACAACAAAAACTAGATGAATTAGAGAAGACATTAAGTGATTACAAAGAAGTAAGACCTTTAAATATTATTTGTGGATATATGAAGCTAAAAAGATTCACGATTTGATGATTTTCTCTCTTTTAGTTACAACATTCGCTGCAAATCCAAGTGGACCGTTTACGAGAAGAAATGCGTCGACTGACCACCGTCATAGCTGCGGACAAAGAAGTACTGGAAACTTTAAAGAACAAGTGCGAAAATTTCTTGTTGGTGTACGAAATCAGCCAAAAGCAAATCGCAGTTGCTAAGCGGTCGATCCAAGAAAAGCAAGTGGAAGAGAATATGATGCGTCTCAGAATCAATCAGATCGAAAAGGATAAGAAGAAAGAAGAGAAGCAGATATTTAATTTAGAAAGATTTAAACTCAATATCGAGCAGGTGTGTATATTTATTGTAATTCTTCTTCCTCTGCGTATTTCATTGCCTAATTCTCTTCTTATCTGGATCAGCTTATCCTATTTTCGGATTAGCGATTAGAAGGGAAAGTAGAAGGAAAGATGAAATCGAGAAAGAATGAAGCAAGATATGATAGGAAAATAAAGTTGGGAAAAGCAGGTAAATATATTTCTTTTTTTTCAGGCTATGAAAGAGAGACAGCTAGAAATCAACACTCAAAAATTGATCCTCTTAACGAAGAAACGTAGCCTAGAGGAAGACAAAGGAAGACTGAAGGCCGATATCAATGTACGCAAATTAAAGATCGATCAGTACCAGAAAAAGTACCATTTGGCATTGACCGGTCTGGGCAAGGACGAAGAAGGCCAGCCTATGACGGTGACTCACTTTAAAATCAAAAACGCACAGGAAAAGTTTTTTTTGCAACAAGAAGGGGACGAGTTGGATAAGAAAATCAAGACCGCGGAACAAGAAATCGTTGCGTTGGAAAACACCTTGAAGATCATCAATATGACCAATGCTTCGTTCAAAAATAGCCTTGCGCCAGTAAAAGAAAACGGTGAGTATCATTGTTTTGCTAATTTTAAAACGCTTTTTCGAACCATTCTAAAATAACCTAGGATATAGAATATCCAGGAGTGTTTATCTTTATATTTTCTGTCAGAAAATATATCGACCTACTGAACATAAATTGATCACCCTGTATACACAGAATATATTTTTTCACCACCAATTTTGTTCGTTTTTTATTTAGATCCCGAGTTGAACGAGATGAAAGAGCTTCAAGAACAACTAAAGGCAACAACAAATGAACTGAAGAAGTATAGAAATGATGTTACTGTAAAACAAAAGGAACTGAATGGTAAAGTTATAATTTTTTAACAGCTTTATTGTTTATTTGCAGAAATAGTTCACTTATCCTCACTCTCAAATAGGTCGGGAACATTAATCAAAAAATTTAAATATATAAAAATTACTAATAAAATTGATTTTTTCTACTCTCTTTTCTTATAAGTAAATTTTCTATAAGTTACGGTTTATTACCTATTAGACACGATACACTTAGGGCGAGCGCCCACCAAAGTGGCGTGGCAGTGGCAAGTAGCAAGTAGCACGCGTCTAGCATAATGTAACCAATGAAAACGAATGATTCAGTTTACACCAAAATGACAGTAACGTCATTCATTCTAATCATTCGTTAGGATTGGTTACATTATGCTAGACGCGTGCTACTTGCTACTTGCCACTGCCACGCCACTTTGGTGGGCGCTCGCCCTTACATGTAAGTGTCGTGCTATTAGACCGATCAAGCAATTTTTGTTTGTTTTTTTTTTAAGAACTACACTTCATCTAATTTACATAGTGATGCACGTCATCGGTGTCATAGCCCCTAACGTCACATGATACCAACACGAAACATTTAGGCGGTAGTTGTGTTCTTTACTTCGACGAGTCACTTTGCCGAGTACACTGGCATTACAGCCACTAGACATATTCTATTATGATACGCGTAGAAATAATATTTAAAAATTTCTATTAATGTTAACTTGAAGAAATTTTGAAAGAACGAAGGTGAAATTTTGGCATAAAGTGGTAACACTTATTTGATAGTTGCGGTGTTGACATTTTTGTACTTTATTATTTTGAATTTTAAATACCTCTTGTTTTATATTTTTACCTATTTAATAAAATCTGTTCTTTTTAGAACAAAATTAGTGTGTTCTATTTCAAAAATGCCACGTAAAATTTAAATAGTTGTTATAAAGAGATGGTAATACTTTTGCAATAATTATGTGATCTATTTGATTTAAAATGGAGTCAGGATTTTTTTATACTTTAGCAACTATGTCAACTTCGATCTCTGACGTAGATAATGACGTACAACGATATGTAAATTAGATGAAGTATAGACAAAAAAGTGTAGTATGAGTGCATGATCGAATATGTCAATGTCAATTATTTTATGATGCCGAGACATACACCACACAACCAAAACAACAAATATTATAATTTTCAATTATTTTTATTAAAGTATAAAGCTTCTGAGACAAGTTATCTATAACATTAAATTATATTTGATAAATTTACCACTAATATGAAATTTATAATGATATTTTTAATATAAAAGTGTTATAAGCAGGTATAGATATCAATAATACATCGATAAAATATTAATGTCGCGCACGCCACGATGTAGGCAACCCAAAATGTAAAATATTTTAGAAAAATCTCATTAAACAATAACATCATTTACTGATAATTAAAAACGCTTTTTTGTAAACAACTTTTAAGATAATTGGCGTTTTAGCATACTGGAATGTAGTAGACAGAAATATTTTATGTACCTACAAAGTATTTAACTTCTTAATCTTAATTCATATTCAGAGAAATGTACCAATCAACCACAATTACGATTTATTATGGACAAGATATTCAATATTATATTTTATTAAAATATATGTGGGAACCAAACTTTTAAGACAAAAAAGCTGCATATCGATCATATAAACAAATTATTTTTTGTGGCTCAGAAGTACAATAAAACTTTTTTTGACTACGTAATGACCACACGTTCGTACATGGCGCAATGAAAAAGCGTTTTATTGTGCTGTTTTCCTATAAAACGAACAAAGCTCTAATAGATTTGTAATTCAGTACATCCTTTAAAGAAAGACTAAAATTAAGATTCCTCAGTGGTGCAAGCAATTTTTTATATTATTCTTACATTAACATATTTTGTTAATAATAATCATTCAATTTCCAGAACTGGACAAACAACACAAAGAACTGGAAGCTGTCCTTCACGATAACGAGGCCATTGTACAGCAACTGGAGGATGAGATTTTCAGCGTCAAGAAACAAGAAATCGATAAATCGGAGAAGCTGAAGAGGGTCGAATGCGAATTGAAGAAACTGTCAAAACAACTATTCGCTAAAGACAGACAAGATATTTATAAATATATCGTAAGTTGTATCGCATTTTTGTTTCAATTTCTTTATGATATTCACGTTTCTTATATTGTAGCCCAGTCTGATTATGCAAAAATCATCGATTTCACGACAAAATTTTTCGCAGATATCTGAAGCTTCTAAGACATAGGTTATATGTTTTACATGACAGAATATGTTTCTTACACTGTGTGGAAGTGTAAATCGACACAATTGAAGGTACTGGAGTGACGTAAATCCACACTGGATGCGTGAAAACCATACTCAAAAACCAGAAAAATTAAATGTGTGGTCAGGTATAGTAGGTACTCAGTTAATTGGACATTTTTTATCGAAAGAAATTTACCGTCAGGTAGTTACCTAGAAATGAAATTGTACCTACACTGAGAAACTTGTTTGAGGCCAATTTTAACCAGATACAGTTTCGGCAAGATAGAGCTACAGCTCATTTTGGTGTAAATATTCGGCCTTATTTCGATGAGATATTTCCCGAACGATGGATTGGCAGACAAGGTAGAATTGAATGGCCTCCACGTTCACCTGATTCCAATCCTACAGATTATTTTTATTGGAGATATTACTTGAAAAATTCAGTTTACAAAACTAAACCAGCAATCTGCAGAGCTAAGGCAACGAATTATCAGTAAATCTCGAATAATTTCTAGACAATCATGGAGAAATGTGGTAGACGCATTTTACCATCGATTAGGGTACTGTCAACTTACAACTAGAGCACATTTTGAACAATTGATAACTAATGACAATTAGGCGTTGCCAGACTTCTGTTTTATGTATTTAAGACCTTCCACACTACATAAAATCATAAGTGTTACATATGGTTAAACTCGTATTGAATAGGAGATTCCAATAATGACTGAATACACAAGCTGATGAATTTGAAAAACCAAAGTTACAAGTAATATAAAAAAAACGGCAAATCTGGCAACATTGCAAAAATCAAATATGGAATCTCTGTATTCCAAAAAGGTGTACCTCAAATTTTGTACAATTATGATTAGCAATTTACGAGATATTTGGCCGTTTCAGACTTTTGGGCCACTCTGTATATTTACAAATAAAAAACTATTTATGTACCTATTTTAATCTACTCTCATAAAGTATATTATGAACAACATTTCCGCAAGTAACATTTGATTTTTGTCACCTTTTTCCTTTTCTTCGTTCTTGTGCATCTTTTAGACGTTATCACATAATTTTTTTTATTTGAGTCCACAAAATCTTTATTTATTGTACTAACTATAATAATTTACAGAGAGATTTCGAAATTCGGCACTTACAAGACACCAACAGAAAAGTCCTGGATCAATTCAAAGAGTTTACCGTTACTTACCCCGAAATGGCGCCCTCCATTACGAAAAACCTGATCGAGAACAACTTGGAGCTGCCAGCTGGCAAGAAGACACCCAGTACGTACTCGTCCCTCTCTTCTCCGAGCAGCTGTTACTCCACCGAACTGCAGAACACCCAAAGAATCAATTCTGCGAGCTCTAGTAATACTACCGTTTCGGTTAAAAAAGTTGAACTAGTTCTTGGCATATAAATATATGGTTTTTTATGTAATATTTTTTATTTAAATCAATATTTTGACTCATACAAACATTTTTTTTTCTTTTTCACTATCATTTGTAGCAGTTAAGGCTCATTATAAGGTGGTAAAATGTTTTTTTATCCTTTTATTGCAAATAGCTATGTGTTTCATGTATAGACGAGGTTTGTTCTAAAAATTTGAAGTAACACGAAATGCACTGTCTTACAAAATTGGGAGTCGTATGTGGCGCAGTCGAAGGATTAACAAAATAATTATTTCTGTTGACTGTTTCGTCTAGATTTCCGGCAAACTGCCAAATCAAATTCAAGTCGAATGCCTCAATGCGTCGGATGAGGAATTTCTTCGCACATCTATTAAGAATTTAAGAATAGCAGCTTACTTAGAAATCTTTTTTCGTAATTTATACAACCAAAAAACATATTTAAGCCACAATATGCTGTAATACAAAGTTCCAGAAGAATAATTTATTTAATACAAAGTAAATTAAAGAACTTATATAATATATTTATCGTGTCCCCTCTTAACATTTAAAATAAACTACATTAAAATGCTGTTTTATTCCATTCCAGGCGGCATAGGCTCGATTGGAGCCGGTGCGGAGTCTTCTGTAATCTAGAACAATATAAAATCATTAAAAACCAATGCTATTGTTCAAAGTATTTCAGTTTTTTCAAATTTTAATTTGGTATAGTGAGTTTTTTAATAAAACTTTGTATTTGACTTATTATTTATACGGGATTTATACGGGATTAATCGAAAGGTGGTTTTTTATCCTAACTTTGAAACATCGTGTGGGATAATTCCGTTAGCGGATTTTCGTAAAACCTTGTTTTTCGGTTGCAACCATGTCTTCTAAGTATTATGTTTTTTGTTTCATGTGAAAATATGGATTGGTTCATTTTTAGGAGCGAAATGACTTTGCCACCCACAATTTACGACTTTCTAATTATTTCCATTATCTTTTGTATTAATTTGTAATACGACGACGGGGGCTTTGGTGACTGATATCGAAGGAATGTCATATCGACATCCCAGAAGCACTTTATTTAAATAATGATTAAAAGCAACGACATGATCTTGGTTTTAATGAACAATAATAACAATAACAAAACATAAAAATAACAACTTAAATGCACCTTAACCTATACTATAAATTCACTATTTGGAAGAGTGATTCATCGTTTAAACGATATCCTCAATTAATGTACAGCGCCCTCGAAACTACCGTTTTCTCAATGCAATTGCGTTTCTCATAAGAATACGATATATAAGTAGTATATTTATTTGTGCTTCTCAGAGACTGACCAGAGTTGTCGTACGTGTAGTCAATTCTGTCAAAGTAGTAATTATGGTCATACAAAACCTGTATTCTTCCACGCAGCGATTATCACCGTCATAAAAATACCAAAAACATGATTGTTTCAATAGCAAAAATTAAGCACAAAATTATAATGAAATAATTTTTTTATATGTTCAGTTTCGTTACATATATTAAATTTATAAAATAAAAATCGATATTTTAAAACATTATTTTTCAATCGTTTGGCAACTTTGGAATTAGCGACGACCCACAGATAGCAAAACTCGTTTTTGCCGATCAAGAAATCAACCATCTTTCATTTACATTGGCGTTTCTGAGTTCAGCTGTATTTATCGTGTACTTAACAATACATCGGGAAATAAAAGGCAAGAAAAAGGTAAAAGTAGAGGTAGAAAACATAGTTTTGTATGACGAGACAAGGAATATTATACGTCAAAAAATTCATTCATTTTATTTTCGGAGTGAAATTTTCGTGAGCTCGAAAACGATGACTCCTTACCCAAGATATCTCGTAGAGTATTAACCAGGACCATGCGCGAAATGAACTTTCGATATGTAAAACGCAACAGAAAAAATATGCAATTAGAAAAAAATGCAATTATTGTGTGGAGAAGAAAATATTTAGAAGAAATACCCAAAATTCGCAGCACTGGACTCAAAATATATTATTTGGATGAAACCTGGATTAATGAAGGTCATACAGTTGGAAAAGTTTAGCAAGATTTAAATGTCAAAAGTAAACGCGAAACATTTATAGAAGGCTGGTTTACAGGATTAAAAGCTCCATCAGGAAAGAGACGGCGTTTAATCATCACCCATACAGGAAGTGATACAGGGTTCTTTGGTGATGGTTTGCTTCAATTTGAGTCGAAAAAAAACAGGTGATTATTATGAAGAAATGACTTCCGAAGTATTTGAGCGCTGGTTCAAGAGAATCTTACCAACATTGGAACCTGGTTTGTGGTTGTTATGTACAATGCGCCATATAATAGCCGCAGACTAGAACAATTACCGACGACGGCATGGCGGAAAGGGAGAATATTCAAGAATGGCTTACAGAAAAGGGGATTGCATACGAAGAATCAATGCTCAAAATTCAGCTACTTGACATTGCACGATTAAGGAAAAGTGAATATCTTAAATATGCTGTGGATGGAATTGCAAAAGATTATGGTGTCAAAGTTGTGCGTCTACCACCTTATCATTGCGAACGAAATCCCATTGAACTTATCTAGGTGCAAGTGAAAGGAGAAGTAGCACGCAATAACAAAACGTTTAAATTAAACGAAGTTAAGGAACTTTTGATTCAAGCAATCCTCCATGTAACTCCAGAGAAATGGGCTAAATGTATAGGCCACATAATTAGAACATCGTATGTGGGAACTTGACACTCATATCGAAGTTTTACTGGAGCCAATTATAATTACACCAGGTGAAGATAATGACAGCGATAGCAGCACTGAATCTTCAGATTTAGACAGCGAATAATATTTTCTAATATTGTTTAACTGTACATAGGTCAATGGTAGATCTATTTTGCCTGAACCCTGCTTGATATTCCCGATGATTAATGATGTTTGTGAGTATTTTGTATCCCGAACAAAGTAAAGAGATGCCTCTATAATTCTGACACAACAGTTTGTCACCTTTTTTATGAATAGGACAGATTATACTTTTCTTCCATTGTGGGGGATTTCTTCTTCTATCCATATCTCTCGTATTAGCTGGTACATCTGTTGTGTCAAATTCCTTCCTCCTTGCTTGAGTAGTTCTGCCGGTATTTTATCTATTCCCGGTGATTTATGGCTTTTTTGTATGTGGATTGCCGTTTGGACCTCATCTAGCGTTGGGGGTCTAGTTAATTCATTTTCTTGTCCATCTTCCCCCAGCTCTTGTTGTTGTACCTCCTGCCGTTTCTGCTGCTGCCTCTGCTGTCGTAATAGTGCTGTGTCCCTTTGTTTAGTAATTCCTTAAAATATGTCATCCAGGTTCTCTTAATTTCGTCCATATCGCTAATGATTTCACCCTTCTTATTTTTGCAGAGGCTAGTCTTCGGTTTGTATCCCTGTCTTAAATGTTTGATAAATTGGTATGCACTACGTGTTTCGTTTTCCTTAAAAAACTGACTAGACCAAATTAAAATTTATAAATTTATACACATGTGCTAAAAAAATCATCAAAATAGAGGCTAAAAGTAAAAAAAATTGAAATACTTTGAATTTGACCAAAATTTTCTCCGTTGTGTTTTGCATTTGAGTGTAAATTATACATCTGTGACTTGTGCACGTTCTTAAACAATGTTTTAAAATGGATTTAAGGATATTGAGCGACAATGAGATTCAAAATAGACAAATAATACAAAACTTACCTGGATCTTCTCTGGAGTGGGCGTAGGAGTAATAACAGCCGGCGCCGTAACAGGCGCAGCTACCCCTATGGGAGCCGGCACGCCCATCGGAGGAGGCACACCCATCGGCGGCGGGACAGGCGCGACTTGGCTTACCGATATCGGCTTGGGCATCGCCGGTTTGTCGCCGTATGACTCCAGAATAATCTCTTGAGTAGCCGCCGGAATGTGTCCTCTCTGCGCCTCGGTGAAAGCCATGAGGTGGTCCCGCAGAGGCGTTTTCAAGTCGGGGGATATTTTCAGAGCTTCCTTCAGCTGCAGGGGCGGTAACTGCATGAGAACGGCGAAGCTTTGCGGCTTCGTTCGCTGGCAGCACTTCACGAAGCCTTCCCAACTACTTTATGGTTCCAGACCTAAATCAACAATAGTAGGTATCACTAAATGGAACAAAATCTAAGTAATTAAATTACAAACACACGAATCTTCTCCAATCGTCAATTAAACACACAATTTGCTTACCTTTTTTAATATCAGTCGTTGTAGTATGTTCATAACAAAACCGGACAACCTCGGATAGCTACACAACGCCTGAATGACTGTTCTCATCAAAAGGGTGGGTAGAGGAGTCTGGTCCATCAGTTGTTGTAGCACGACTGCTAATACTTCTTGAGTGTACACCTGTAAAACATCCATTAAATATGTATTGTATAGCCTATAGCTATGGTATGTTTGTATGACTACCAGTATAGAGAAATCAATGTTTTAGAGAGAGATAGAAGTACCTTTTAGGTAAGTAAGAGTGAGCAGAACGATATATGTTGACGTCACAATCCCCGCCCAATGTTTCCGATAATCCCATTTTAAATAATTATTTTGTAACTATTCGCGTATATGATTAATGCTGCAACGCTTTGTTTTCCCCTGTTTTCGTCTTTAATGGAAGAGTCCTCACAAACTTTGAAAAACAATAAATTACAACAAGAATGAGCTTGTGAGATTTATTTTGGTTGGCATAAGGTCGCATCTCAGCAAGATATTAGATGTGACATAAACGAGAGACATTTGACATAAAACGTGACATTTGATATAAAACGCCACATACACGAGACATTTAATCCATTATGAAAGAGACATTATGAAAAATCCATATTAATAATTTTGAGAGACATTGTTTCACAAAATCTCTAGGACACATTCCGTTGCCAATGGTTATTTGTTCCCCATATCTTCCTACAACTCTGTTATTTTCTTCTCTCCCTACTCTGCCGTTTAAATCTCCTAGTATAAAGATTTCACAGTTTTCTTTAATTTCAGAGAGTATTTCATTCATCTTGTTACATAAATCGTCTTTACTTTCTGGATCTCCATCTTCATTTGGGGTACACACTCCGACAATTACGATGTTGTGCCCATTCTTTTTCATTTCCAGTATTAGAAGTTGTTCATTTACTTCAGTCCACGATTTAATATTGCTTTTAAGATTTTTTCGAATGGCAATAGACACTCCTCTCTTAGCTCTAATATCTCACTCCACTGTAGATATGTATATATTCTCCTATCTCTTTATTTCCTTTTCCATTTTTCTTGGTCTCAGTGAGAACACATATATCTATTTTTCTTTCCGCTAATTCTTTAAATACTTCTGCTTAGTCAAAATTTTTAGCATTTATTTCTCTTGACAAGGGATAAGTTGCTAGCCCATCGCCTCAACCCTCCTCCTTTATCTGGGCTTGGAACCGGCACCGGCATTTACTGAGCTACTCAATCCACCCAGCACTTACCGGAGTAAATGCTGGGTGAATTGAGTTCAGTAAGAGACCAAAAATAATTTGTAAATTAATTTTAATAAAAAATGAAGAATTACCGGCGCTGACAAGAGGATAATATTAGAACTATGGTAGTCAGTAATGTAGATTCCTTACACTTCAACATATATCGTTCTTTCTTACTTACCTAAAGGGTACTTCTCTCTCTCTCTCTAACACATTGATTTCCTAATGCTGGTGGTCATACAAACGTAGCTAATCTATTCATATCCTTTTTTGATACGTCACTCCCCCACTTGCCGCATCAGTTAAATAATATTACAAGGGGGTACGCAAAATACGACAAAAAAGCTAGAATTAGGAGAAAAACAAACAAATTTCAACAAAAACATTGCGATTCATAACAATTTTGAAACAGTACTACTTATCCGCCCGATTTAATACCGTCAGATTTTACTATTTCCTAAATGGTAATAAAACTTTAAAATCAAAGAAATTTATGCTTATTTACCGAGTGATATACGTTTCTGATAACTAATAATATCTATAAAGAACATTTTGTGGAAGTCAGTACCTGTTTTTCTTGTAGGCACAGCGACGTCGCCTTCATGACATTTTTGAGATCTGCCTGAGTTGAATCAATAAGATGCAGAGCTACCAACAACTCGCTAGGAGTTATGGGACTGTCTCCGTGCAAGCCTAAAAGACGGTTAAAAACTTCTCGAACGACCACAACGTTGAGTTTGATCAATTTGGGTAGCGCAGCTATCACCTGAAAGCAATAGGAACATTCAGTTGTGTAAAAAGGGTCGACAAAGCAAAATTCAACTTACTTCTTTCTTAGTGAGACCGTTCAGTACAGGTATTAAGAATCTAACATCGGTTATTCTTGATTGGTATAAATCCCGTACTCTAGCGACCAATTCTGGCGTTGGTGAAGCTTTATCGGTCAGGATATGGATCAGCCTAGTTATTAGAGTTTCGGAACCTTTAACGCATTCTTCTACGAGCTTCAGCAGTTCTTTAGACTCCATTCCCATTTGCTTAACAGGAACATCGATCAACCTCAATATTACTCGCTTGATGTCGGGCGATGTGTCCACATAAACCTGTAAAATAATATTTATTCGTACGACACAATCAACCAAGACGTATGTAAAGACGTTTTACCTTTGCGAGGTCGTGTATGAGGCTCTCGTTGGCCGGCAACAAAGACACGTAAGGCATCAAACAAGCTTTTATGAAGTCGTCACCCCAGGTTTCTGCTTTTAACCTACCCTGGTTCAAACCGCACAAGCTTTCTGGCGGTTTAGGCAGCTTTAGGAACTCCAAATTCATCCTGGCGAATTCTTCAATCACCAACTTCAACTCGAACCGTTTGTGAAGCTCCAAAACGTGGCCGATGGCGTGGTCTCTGACCACGCTGTTTTCGTAGGTGGTGTAACCCAGGAGAGTGTTTAAGAAGACGAGCTGTTTGGGTGGTTTTCTTACGACCAGGTCTCTAATAAGACCTAAAGCCCAACCTAAACGAAAAGTATGAATTAGACTGCCAGTATTTTCAATATCATATTAAATATTGAATCTTTAATACAAATTGTCATATTAATAAACATCTAACTGTATTAAGGCCGTTCCTCGCTATTCTGCGCATAGCCTATTATTATATAAAAGTTAAATAAAATAACGCAAAAACTATGGCAGATATTGATATTATTTGTTATATGATAGGTCTTAAAACACTCTAGTGCACTAACTCTTTATAAATTAATAAACTGTTTTAAACATTATTTTTCCAATTTTTTTTTAAATTAACTAAAAAAAATTAAAAATTACGTCCCTATAGGATTTTTCCACACTTTCCGAATGTTTTTACCATGGACGTAACGTGAAAATTTTACCATGGAAATTTCACACTTTCAGCTATGTTTGACGGGCTATAGGTAGTCCATTGACGCGCTGATGAAAGAATGTTGTGAAATCAGCATAAAAATTACTTACAAAGTGGATTTTTTTACTTAAACTTGTCATTATTAAAGCAATTAATGTAATAAATAAAAAAATAGATAAAAGGAATCAAAAAAGCTTAAAATACAACAAAATTCACAGACCTCAGCAGTTGGCAAAACATACAAACAAAGAACTAAAACAATTTAATAAAGAATATCCAAAAATAATCAACAAGAGAGAGATATATAGTGAATTTCTGAAGAAACAGACACCAAGTGAATTGAAACAATTTGTCAATAAACACAAAGTGAACATAAATTGATCCACAAACATTTTATTCCCCATTTGCATAACTTACTTTAAAGAAAAGTTGGTTTATTAAAACATAACCTCACATAATCTCTAATCCAATTATTTTTTAAACATATTATAATCTTATCTTTCAAATATGTACAGTTATTACAACTGGCTGAATGACTAATGTCTATGCCATTTAAAAAAAAATTATGTGAAGGTCCAGATCACTAATGTCGACAAAAGAAAAATTAATAAAAATACTCACCAGAACGTCTTTCGTCTCTACACACCACTCTCACTTCTTCCAAAGCGTCATCTGTGATCAACGGAGACTCTAGAAGCAATCGTGTAATGATCAAAGCATCTGTAGCTGATATGTTGATGAAACTACACAATAGCATGTTGTAGAACTTTTCCGATTTTCCTTCGCTTCGCAATGGAGGCGGTTTGGCGAAGCCCTAAAGGAAAACAGTGAAATTTTTTAATTACTACTTAATACTCTACTATTCAAGACCAAAAGCTCACTAAATAAAGATAAAGCATAAATATCAGGTTAAGAGAATCATCCGGGAGGCTTTCGAGATCGACAAATGTACCAAGTATCTCAACAAAAGACCTGATGACAAGCATATTGTATATTATACCCTGTGTAACATAATGTATTTTAATCTTTTTAGATAACTTATAAAAATGCAAAGTAGAAGGCTGAAAAAATAACTCAGTATTGGTTAAATTTAGATCACTGTAGAAGCAAGTATCAAAGAAACATCTTACCTGCATAATACTGTATTCCTCATATAACCAGGCTAAGGCGATGTCCACATACGATTTAAGGTCCTTCAATATATGCATCAAGATTTTTTCTCTTATCGTAAAATCGAAATGTGTCGCCAGGGTAGTGATAATTTTCTGGTGCAGATATTTATTTGCCGATTTATGAGGTTTTAAAATTCTTTCTACAGCACTCAGCATTAACCTTTCTTTGACGTCAGTTTCCAAAGGTTTCGTTAGTTCTTGAAGCTTTAAGGTTTTTATTCTGATAACTTTAACTTTCTCTTTCTTCTGAGGTGGCTGAAAACGATTTAAGTAAATACAGTTATTTCATTGATCTTAAACACTTCAATTAACAGTATTAAAACCTTTTTTAGTTGCTGTAAGCCATTGAAAAAGACTAACCTTTTCTTTTTCTTCTCGAACTTCGTCTTCTTTAGGTTTGGACTTAGTTTCTGGTGGACTCTTTCGCTTCTCTGCCCTTTTTCCTGGACCTACGTTTGCTTCTAAAAATTGTTTCGCCATAATATTTGCCAATTGTATTCTCCCTATGTTGCCTGTGTTAGCATACTCAGCATAGTCTTTTAAAAACGCCGGTGGCACCTAGAAATTAATTTGATAGGAAATATTTTTCTTTTATATCAGTAATGACAGATAAACAATCCAGAATCACCATGGCTTACAGAAATGTCAACAAAAACTATAGAAAAAAATGTCAAAAAAACTTCATTACCTAATTTAAACTCCCTATAATTCATATTAGTACCCAAATGTTCAAATGAAAATTAAATGGTATACCCATTGCTTTAGTTTTCATACCAAACCATAAAAAAAATTGACAAATCTAAGCTGTTATATAAGTTTTTAAACAAAAAAAAAACAGTAAAACTGTATCATGTATTTTTAAGAACTAACCTGATTGGGCAATTTTGGAATATTGGTAACAATGAGGTAAACAGCTTTTTCCAAAGTTAAATTATCCAAAATAAACTGTTCATTTATTTCTTGGGGAGTCAGATTGGGATCATAAACTTCTTCTGTTTCAACTTCAGCAGGTTGTTCGTCTAATTTGGGCTTCTTGGCATTCTGTTGCAACACTAGTGATTCAGATGACAAGAGTCTTTTGTTGTATCTGCGTCGTTCGTCAGCTTTTGGGACCATTTTGTTGATTTCTGATTGTGAGCAGCCTGTTGAATGAGTATTAGGTACATTTTTATATTAAGATAATGGATTATGCTAATGATACAATTGATCCTAAAGTCAATTTACATTGTTAATAGCATGGAATAGGTTAATAAGTATTTATTAACCTATTTTTCTTATTAAATCTTATCTAAAACCATCAACATTGTTTTTATAGATTAAAAATGAGAATTCAAACAGTAGTATTCTAAAGTTATAACAAAGAAAAATATTTTACAACAGTTTACACCTACTAAAAAGAAAATTACAAGATCAGATGTTTAAAATTAGTGTTTTATTCACTTACCTAACTCCAACAACAATTTACTAATTGTACTGAGATATTCGAAACCTCCTGGATGTTTAATAAGCCCACTTAGCTCAGTTTTCAGCTTCTTCTTCACTGAGCTGACCTGAGTTGTGGTAAGGGTTGGAGGTAAATTGTTATATAGTGACTCCAAAGCATCTACCACTCTTGCCATGAATTCAGCTCTATTTTTAGCAATATTGGTTAAAACACCAATACAAGCCAAGAGATTGGCACTGCTAATATGCGGGGATCCATGAAACTTCACCAGGATTTCAAATAAATTACTGAAAATTAAGTATTACAAATAAAAATCGTAATAGATATTTAGATTTTCTGCTTACCTAGCCTCTTCTTCAAGTTTCCTTCTTCTAGCAACCTTTAAAGTAAGAGGAACATTATCTAGAGAAAAATCATTGAACCTTTTATTTTCATTTTCATCAGGATAAGTCTGTAATAGTACTACACACTCAAGAAATTTCACAGCGCTAGTTCTTATACCGTCATTATCACTGTCTATCATATTGGCTATTTCTAATTTTATTACACTTAGCTGTTTCCAAGCCTCTTCCATTTCTTGAGTGATTGTGGGAGGTTGGCACAACCATGCTAATGTTTTCCTGTATATGGTAATTGTTGCTTGAATGACACGTTTCTGAACAGCAATAGATTCATCACACAGCAGCATGTGTAAGGTTAACATAACTTTTGGAATAAATGCTTCCCTGACTTTACTAAAACATCAATTGTCGTCAGTGTAATAGTCGAAATTTGTAAATCATTAATACTTACACTAATTCTTCTATAAATCCTACTAAAGCCTTTTTTATATCTTGATTGTTAGAGGTTGTAAAGTTAAGGACATTCTGTAAATATTTCGATATTAGGAGAGGGCTTTTTCGTAGCAGTATCTCCTGAATTTTGAAGAAAGTTTGAACATTTAAAGAAGAATTTGAGTCATAAGCGCAATCATTTATGTACTGGACGACCTAAAAAACATAATTACTTATAGTTTTCAGAGTAATTCTATAAGAAAAAATTTTATTTTTACCAGTTCTTCATCGGTCATATCTTCATCGTAATCCATTTTAAGTAGTAATTACAGGACGAGATTTGTTTTTTTTTTTACTGTAATAGATGAAAGTTAAATTATTATAGGGAACTAGCCAATTTGGAATACATTTTTAGGTTTTATTAATCTGTGTATACAAATATAAATGTATTTTTTAATACTGGATTCAGAACTTAATTTTGCTTTCAAATTCCAACATATCAACACATCATAACCTTATCTCAAAAATCTTCTTCGTTTTCTAATAACGATTTATTACTTAAGGCAGTTACGCAGTCCATTTGCATTGACAACACACATAACAAACATCCGATATCCCAATTTGGTTTTTATATTTATTAATTATTAAATTAAAATAATACGATCCCACTGTAGTTAATCAAACTAACATTTTTAGATTAGGAAAATTCATTAGTAACAGATTTCCAGTCACAAAGTGGCTTCAGTTTGAATTCAATTGATTGTAATTAATTTTTAAACAGCGTATTTTATTTAAAAAATAAATTAACGAAATCAAATATTTGTCAACAACTAATTAATATTAATTGAATTAAAAATATTTGCGGCCCATTTTTGACTGGCAACCTATTATCAATTATTATTCTTCTAATTTTAAATGTATGTAAAAATGAGAGTTTGATGAACTACTAGAACTACGCAGTAGCGCACCTAGAATTATCCTATGTGGGAGGGAGCGGGTTTGCGAAATTTTTTTATGATGCTACCTCTATTTTGAGTCCTTAAAATTTGTAACAGTGTCGGAATAGGGTCCTGGGGGGGGTTAACCACCAAACCTCCCCTGGGTGCGCCACTGGAACTGCGTTATGAACTTAAAGATCCTGCAGTTGGACCCAGTGGCGCAACCAGTCCGTTTTGGGGGGTTAACCCCCCCCCCAGGGCACTATTCCGAAACTGTTACAAATTTTAAGGACTCGAAATGGAGGTAGCATAAAAAAAATTTCGGTGCCCAACCAACCCCCCCGCCACAAAAAAATTCTGGGTGCGCCACTGGTGGGATCTTGTGCCATTATGAACGTAGTGATCTGGCAGTGGATCTTAGCATCGAGTTAGAATCTAACTCGAACTAGATTCTAACTCAATGGATCTTAGATTAGAATTTTACGTCACTTAACAGTGTCGGAATAGGGTCCTGGGTGGGGTTTAACGCCCAAACGCCCCCCTGGGTGCGCCATAGAGTTTTGCCCACAATTAAAAGTTTTCCTATCAGCCTCTGAAGAGTTATGGCTAACAATAGTTTTTAAGCCAATCTTTTCTTTGAAAGAAATGCTTGCGTGATTTATTTTGTTAAGTTTGAATATAGCAAGCTTGAAGAGTTGTGTATTGATGTCTTAATTTTTAAGCAACAATGCACTTTAACTAAATGAACTTTTTGTCTATGGGTTCGTTATCATAATATAACTGATTGGGGGCGATAAAAGCCAAGTATAAATAATTGTCAAAGTTTCGTAACGTTTTCTGGTCGTAGTTATCTGATAGAATAACGTCGGAAAAGCTATAGTGCAAAATAAATCGAGAGTTGCATACATTTGGCGCAACTTATTCATATAAGTTTACCAGCAAACCAAAATTAATAATTTTAAAAGCTCTTAAATATAATTTTATAATTAAATATACTTACTTTCCTTATAAAACTAATGAAGTTCACAAATATATTGACTTTAATCCATAGCCAAGTTGATATTGCAGTGTTTTTGTGGTAATATGAAGTTTTTGAAAGAATAGCAAAGGTATAAATGAAAGTGATAACATTTTAGATATTTTTTTTGTCGGTTCAGGTAAAACTCATTCACAGCGAGTAGCCGTTGTATGGAAATTATCTTTTTTTATCTTTATTTTATAATTCTCCACATTTTTTCTTGTGTGCGAAAATGATAACATCAAAGTTGGATGACGTGCAATGGATTTATGAGAAAAGGAACTGTAGCACTCTATTTGAACATAAATCTTATCTACGTCGAGAGTTTTGGTATTTTTTGTTTGTTTTTGGGATTTAACTGAGGGGTAAAGGAAATAAAAACACAAAATGCTTCAAGAGCTTCTTTAATGGTTAATAAGAAGCTTATACATTAATTTTATCAAGTCTATCATCATCAAGTATCAACAGAAACATAACAAATAATAATATCATATGACTAAAAGTAACTTATCCTACATACGTACGTATCAATCATATCAATTACGTCATTACGAACTCGCTCCAATAGAAATCAATCGAACGCTAACCAAAATGACAATGGAAAAAGTTTCTCAATCATAATAATAATAATAATAATTTATGGGATTAAACTTTAAATTAAATTGAAAAAAAGAACTAAAATAGTCAGAACACCATCTTTCCTTCTAAACTCTTTCCGATGAAAATAATTCCGCTGCAACCACCTAAACAACAAATAATAATAATAGTAAATGATGAAGATTTCCTTGTTGCCTATGGCGGAACGAGGCAGCACTAAGCCTAGTTATTTCTTCTTTTGGGCTTTCTCGGCGGCCTTCGTAACTTTGCCAGCAGTGTCTTTGAAAGTGACGGATTTAATCACACCCACGGCGACGGTCTGGCGCATGTCGCGCACGGCGAAGCGGCCCAACGGCGGGAACTCCTGGAATGACTCGACGCACATCGGCTTGGAGGGAACCAGATTGACGATGGCGGCGTCGCCGCTCTTGATCGCCTTCGGGTTCTCTTCGGTGGTTTTGCCGGTACGGCGGTCGCACTTCTCTTTGATCTCGGCGAATTTGCAGGCGATGTGGGCCGTGTGGCAATCCAGGACCGGAGTGTAACCGTTTGCTATCTGCCCTGGATGGTTCAGCACGATGACCTGCAATCAAAATACAACACTAAGAAACTATTTGCATAAAAAGACTAATAAATATGTCGTAAAAAGTGTACAATAAGCTCAAGATGTATTTTTTAAGGAAAAATTATATAAAAGACAATTTTAGCATAAAATTCCCAAAAAAATAATAAATAAACGGAATAAAATATTTTACCTGTGCCATAAAATCAGAAGCGCCTCTTGGTGGATTGTTCTTCGAGTCTCCGGCGACGTATCCACGTCTCAGTTCCTTCACAGAGACGTTCTTCACGTTGAAGCCGACGTTATCTCCTGGAACTGCTTCCTGGAGTGCTTCGTGATGCATTTCTACGGATTTGACTTCGGTGGTGAGGCCTACCGGAGCGAAAGTGACAACCATACCGGGTTTAAGGATTCCAGTTTCGACTCTTCCTACTGGAACTGTTCCAATGCCGCCGATTTTGTAGACATCCTGCAATACAACAAGTTAGGACAATTTTTTTTATTGTAATCATATGTTTTGACTATATGAGGCAACAAAAATTGTCTGAAAGTATGAGTAAAATATACACTCGAAAATTTTGGTCAAATTAAAAGTACTTCTATTTTTTTATTTTTAGTCCTATTTTGATGATTTTTTGGCACACTGTGTATAAATTTATAAATTTTAAATTGGTATTGTTATGATAAATTCTGACTCAAAACCGTAAATATATTTATTACTTATATTCTTATTCATTCAAGTATTTTCTAGGTCATATACCTACGATTCGAAGCAGGCCGCTATAAAAACCAGTTTGAGGTCTCCTTCATTCGAGACAATTCAGGTAACATCCACCCTGTCGATAAAAACATGTTTACCTTCCACACTAGTCGAGAAGGTCATCGATTCTTCGCCGGGGTTCCAGTCTAACGGTATGGGTATATATGGGACATTTTATGTAAACAGTTAGTCAGTCGAAAAAAATAAATTGTTGTATCGAATAAGTGGTTTAATAAATTAATATAAATTATTGTGTTTTAGTGAATTAGAATAAGGGAAATAAAGTAAATAAATTAGACTTATAAATTCAGTTCAGTATAGTCAGTTTTTTGATAAAATTTTATATTTGACTTATTGTACGGGGTTTATTAAAACCTGGTTTTATTATCCTAACTTTAAGGCATCCTGTGAAATAATTCCGTTTGCAAATGTTCGTAAAACCCTATTTTTAGGTTGAAACCATGTCTCTTAAGCATTGTGTTTTTTGTTTCATGACAAAATATGCCTTGGTTAATTTGTTAGAGCCAAATGAATTTGCCACCCACAATTTAGGACTTTTTAATTATGATTATTTTGGAGTTATTTTGTAATACGACGAGGTGGCTTTGGTGACTTATTATTATGTCATATTGAAACTTACATTTTGTTTACCTATGATTGACCATGATTATTAGCGTCGAAGATTGTGCGAAAGCCAAAGAGATTTGCGGAGTTACCTTTCAATTCTCGCGTTAGTCATGGAGAGGGTTCGGTGATAATCATCGAGCAAAAAGACAAAAGAGGGAATTTAAAGGTAGTGATATTTATAATAACTAATCCATATTTTCACATGAAACAAAAAAACAATAATACTTAGAAGATATGGTTGCAACCGAAAAACAAGGTTTTACGAAAATCCACTAACGGAATTATTCCACATTATGTTTCAAAGTTATGATAAAAAACCACCTTTCGATTAACCCCGTATAATTCAAATAGAAAATTTTATTAAAAAACACTATATAAATGTTTACACAGTGTGCTAAAAAATCATCAAAATAGAGCTTGAAATAAAAAAAACTGAAATACTTTGAATTTGACCAAAATTTTCTCCATTGCGTTTTTTGCTGACTGTATAAATATAAAAAGATTTTTCGAAGTAAAAAAACACCAACAAAAAAATGAAAACTTGATGATAAAAAAAATGATTTACCTGAAGAGGAAGTCTCAAAGGTTTCTCGGTGGGTCTGGAAGGAGGCAAAATGGCGTCTAAGGCTTCAATCAAAGTTTTTCCCTCGGCTTTTCCTTCTTTGCGTTCGACGGTCCATCCCTTGAACCAGGGCATCTTGTCGGAACTTTCCAGCATGTTATCCCCGTGCCAACCGGAGATAGGTACGAACGCTACAGCAGCTGGATTGTAGCCGATCTTCTTGATATATGACGACACCTCCTTCTTAATCTCTTCAAATCGGGTTTCCGAATAGGGTGGCTCGGTGGAGTCCATCTTGTTCACTCCTACGATCAGCTGTTTCACTCCAAGGGTGAAGGCAAGCAAGGCATGTTCGCGAGTTTGGCCGTTCTTCGAGATTCCTGCTTCGAATTCGCCCGTGCCAGCGGCTACGATGAGGACGGCGCAATCGGCCTGGGAAGTACCGGTGATCATG